CCGGCTTCGAGTTTTTCAAATCCAATCGCCATCACACCACTCAGACAGCCATCTCCATGGCCGCCGATCCCACAGGCACCGGGTCGTTTAGGGGTTCAGGGTTTAGGGTTTAACTAGGGTTTAGGGTTTAGGGTTTAGGGTTTAGGGTCGCAACAAAAGAGCGATTGACATTGAGGGTTTGGGGTTTAGGTCCCTTGTAAGGTTCCCATTGCAAGAAGGAGGCTTATGTGCAGGGCACCAAATGAGACCCTAAGCGAGAGACCTGCCCATGTGGGTTGTTCGAAGTTCGGGAATGAATTCGGGTTAAGGATTCAGGGTTCAGGGCCCCAATTGTCCCATGCCAGGACACTACATGTGCACTGGCGGAGCAGATGGACTTATCTGTGTGTGGGTCAGTGCCCCAAGGGACAAGTGTTTCAGGCATAGGGTTTAGTTGGGTTTTTTGGGCTGTAGCTGTGCTTCTGCATCGCATCCACGAGAGTTCCGAAGGTGCACACATTCCAGGTTCAGAACGCTTTGCTCAACCCTGAACCCGTCGCTCAGGAACACAGGCAGCCGCTGTGCCTCAGGTGCTTCCTTCATCCTGGGCAGGTGCCTATCGGCTCGCCAGTAGCTCCTACCCTGTACTGGCTTTAGGATTCAATGGGGGGGGGTCCCAAAACAGAGGTACCCTTTTGGGGCGTTCCTAGAAGAAGGATGAGATTCTTTCAGGATATGTTTTGGCACCCCTAATTAATTTTGCCGTTTAGGAAGGTATAGTTTGGACGGTTAAGGGAGGAGTAGAGAACTAAACCCTGGCGCTGTGGTTAGCCCATCGCCGTGCCTACAGGCAAGGGATGGCTGACTCACTTAATTCACTGAATTGGAATCCGTTTTAGTCGCCAGGCGTCTCGCTTCGTGACAGTCCGCATGACCGATTGCATAAACCCGAAACCCGAAACCCTAAACCACAAACCCACGGAAGGTCATCACGAATGTGGACTTCAACTACAATGGCACTCTGATTGCATGGGGCACTGGTGCAGGCCGAGTGGCATTGGTGGGAGTTCAGGATTTAGGTATTTAGGGATTAGGGGTTTAGGGCTTAGGGATTACGTATACAGTTTAGTAGGAGTTTTTGGGGCTTTTTGTTTAGTAAGTTGAGCTGTTGGGAAACTCGAGCGAAGCGCACTGGGGGCCCCAAACGCTAAACTCTAAGCCCTTGTGCCGCGAACCCAACTAAACTCCTTACCATCGGGAGGCGAGCGGAGCCTGACCCTCATGGGCTCCAACACAGCCATTCCGCCATGTCCTCAGGGGCATACCAGAAACTCAGCTACGAGTAGGCTTACAACAAGCACCCCCGAAAAGAATGTGCCTTTCAGCTATAGCCCTAGTGATGTACTTAATCTAACTCCGAAGCCCAAAACCTAAACTCGAAATGCTGGAAACTACATACGAAGCTTCCTGTGCAGCTTCCATGGCTTAGGGGCATGGCGTTGAGGCCTTATCGGGTTCATAGGGCATGCGCGGTTTAGGGCTTGTAGGGTTTATAGGTCTATAGGGTTTGTAGGGCATGTAGGGACTAGGGCTTGCAATTGGGGCTTAAGGGTTTATTGGGTTTACAGGTTCAAGAGGGTCTACGTTAGGACGGGAGTGGCCTGATCCGGGAGTCAATTCAATGTAGCGCAACCTCAGAAGCACGCACGGCATGCGCTGACAAAGGTACTACCAGGACCTCACCCCAGCCACCGTCACCCATCTGAGGCAAGGCTGCAGACGGAGCCATTGTTCCCTTTAAGTGGCACAAGGAGGGACTTATTATATTCCTATAATATACCTTATGTAGTAATCGCCGAATACCTAAGTAGCCCGAAATAGCCCCTAAACAACCCCGAAGGTCCCTAGTAAGGGTCCCTCCATTAGTCCCCTGATTCTTGTGAACTGCACTCGTGCCAGGTGGCATTCATCCAAGAACGCATGGCTCCCAGGTGAATTGCCATGCCTCAGACAGCTCAGGGCTTCGGGTTTAGAACTTAGGGTTTAGGGTGTAGGGCCTGGCAAGCACAAGAAAGCTTGGAAAGGTCCTGGCCTACAGCCTCAATGCCAGTCAAATGCCAGAAGAGCCGGGTGCTCAGAGCATCGCAACACCCAGCAGCCCGTCGACTAGGCTGCGACTAGGCTAGTCAGCCACACCCGAAACGCTAAACCGAGGTCTCCAGGCTTTCCAGGTTCCCGGCTACATAGCCCTTACTTTGCACAGCTCCTAAATTGTAAAACCTAAAGACTACAAGCCCTTAAGCCCCATGTCCTAGTGGCTCTGGTTCCTAAAATACCTATTGGTTCCCTGGTGGCCGAGTCGACCACACAGAGATCGGCGCGGCTACAACAAGGATATGCCTGTCATCCAGCTGCTGAAGGTGGGTATTGGGGAATTTGGGTTTAGGGTTTTGGGAATTGGGAATTGGGGTTGGCGCGCAGCATGTGCTTGGCATTCGGAAGTCGTCAGAGACTCCACTATCCCTCCAGTCTTCCTGAAACCATTATTTTTTGGAAGTCCAGCGGTACCCTTTTGCCCTTTGTTGGGCACTGGGCTCCTGTATATACAAGTAACCACCATCTATAGGGGTCGGTATAATTACTAATATTATTCCCTCAGGGTCCCTTTATAATTATACTAGTAACCCCAAAAGCCCTATTCCAATTCTTCAGGCCCCTAAATTACCCTCTTTGTAAGTAATTTTGACGCGACCCGCCTCGGCCGCAAACTGCCCAATCGGTTTGAAGGTGCTGTTAGGCTTCGGGGCTTTGCGGCGCCGTGCAATTTTCCGGTTCCAGCGCGCAGGCTCATGTAAAGACCAGGCCCCCAGGTCCCCCCACCCTTTAAACCTACCCCGGCTTGTTTCTCGTATTTTACCACCCTGGACCCTCAACCCTAAACCCTAAACCCCACACCCTAAACCCTAAACCCTAAACCCTGCAAGCCCCCCCCCCCACCCCCGCCCCCCGCGCCCACCCCTGCAGCTTCCGGACGATCTCTGATCTGGGCGGAGGGTCCGCGCGGCTCGCATCGAGTAAAGGGCTGCTGCACTCGTGGGGTTGAGGGAGGTTGAGGGTTTAGGGGTTTGGGGGTTGAGGGTTCAGGGTGTAGGGTTTAGGGTTTAGGGTGGAGGGGTGTAGGGGTGTAGGGTGTAGGGCTATGAAGGGTGTAGGGTTTAGGGGAGGTCTTTTAGGGTGTATAGGGTGCAGGCTGGAGGGATGACTCATGTTGACATGCAGTCTGCAGTCGCGTCTGGCACAGCTCTTGGGCCGCTTCTGAACTCGTGGTTCCAAGAGCACCGACCAAGCCGAACATGCCAGGCAGCAGATTGTCAAAGACAACATAGAACTCAGCAACCAGGAGCCTTTTTTGGGGAGTTTAGGTGGTGGGGTTTAGGGCTTAGTATCCCGGACTTTATGCAGCCCCCAAAGGCTAGCCCTCAGTCACTTCAGTTTGCTTCTAAGAATCTGGACCGGTAGGGCACACAACAACTTCGCCCCGCGTGCCATGCCGAAAGTAAAGCTGATCGGCAAGAAGACCGAGTTCGATGCCTGCTTAAAGCTGGAGAAGCCCCCCAGTTGATCTCATGATGTACGGTTTAGGGTTCAGGTGAACAAGTTTAGGGTTTAGGGTTTAGGGTTTGGCAAACTAGGGATGAAGATCATGATGATCATGATGATGGTGCACTCTTTGTTCTCCTAGAAACCAGCCCGCCTCCCGAAGCCCTTGAGAAGGCTGGTCGTCTTCTTCTTCAGTGCCTCATGGTGTTTGCCCTGCCACCTTATGGAACCGAAGTTTTCCGAGTTGGCTTCGCTGCCCGACACTTGGCGTGTTTAGTTTAGGGTTTAGGGTTTTAAGGTTTTATGGTTTAGGGTTGAGGAGTTTGGGGCTGGGATTTGCCTGGGCTTCTTGTTTTTTGCCAATGTGGGCTTGCAAAAGAATCGGCCCCAGGAATTCAGCAACATTGAGTTTGTGGTCGTTGACGTGGACAAATCGGAGGACGCGTCCCGGAATGCCCTGACAAGCGCTGCTGTCATACAGGGGTTGATCTAAATTATGGGCCCGAAACCTTCCCTAAACCCATTACCTGGGACCCAGAGTGGGCCCTCCCTCCCTGCTAAGTTCCCTTTTTAATCCCTAGGTTATTCTGCGGCCCAGTTATTCTAAAGGTCGTTACTTAGTCCCATATTGTGGTCCCCTGCCTCCTGTAAAGGGTTCCGATGTATGGGCCCTTGGGTTGTATAGGGAGTATAAGGGGTCCCTTTTCAGGGGCCATACTGACGGGCCATGGAACGACCCAGTTATGGTATAGCACACTGTATTCCTTATACTTCAGCTTCTCAAAACCCATGCCAGGAGGTCGCTGATGCGGCGAGCATTGATGCAGTTCCCACGTTTCTGGTTTTCAAGGGAGACTCGCAGGCTGGGTATTGGCAACCCTGCCCCTTGAACCCGAAGCCCTAAACCCTATAAAACCCTAAGCCCTAAAGCGCCCTAAACCCTAAACCCTAACACTTAAACACTAAGCCCCAAACCCTATAAGCCCTAAACCCTACAAACCCTAAACCGTGGGCTGTTCCATTCCAGGTGGGCGAACTTGTTGGCGCGGACGAGGTGAAGCTGAAGGAGCTGATCCAGCAGAGCAAATGATGCGCAGGACCGGCGAAACTCTGGCCGGTGTGTGCTGCGCGCATGCACAGACCGACTGCCCAAACGGTGGCACCGTCTCACAAAGTTGCAAAAGGCGCAGCACGTGCTTTGGGTCATGAGCCGCTCGTAGGTTGTTGCAGCATGCCTAAACCTTGCGCTCTAAGTTTAGCGTGAGGCTGGGGAGATCTGGGGAGATAAAGAGGGACCAGAGGAAGATCTCAGAGCAGCTTCAAGATGAAAAAGCCATGGAATACGAAACGTTTTCCGCCTCAAGGATCTAGGTCTCCGCATCCTGCGCAGCTTGCATAAAGGGCCCTCATCTGAGCAAACGATGGTGCTGATTCCCAAGAAGTCCCGCCGTGCCATCCTGGAGCACCTCTTCAAGGAAGGCGTCATGGTCGTGAAGAAGGACTACCAGGCGTGCAAGCACAACGAGCTGGAAGACATCCCTAACCTGCACGTCATGATGGTGCTGCGATCGCTGGCTTCCCGCAACTACCTGTCGGAGATCTACAGCTGGCAGTGGCACTACTACACCCTGACCAACGAGGGCATCGAGTACCTCCGTGAGGTGCTTCATCTTCCTCAGCAGGTCTTCCCCCAGACCCTGACCAAGCAGCGCCCCACCCGACCAGCCCTGGCTGGCGGTGACGCCGGGGAGGGAGGAGGCAAGGGAAAGGGCAAGGGCAAGGGCGCGTGGAACCGCGGCGAGGAGCCCCAGTGATTGTGAGCAACTGTCATGGGTTCAGGGGCACGCTTCTTGCGCTGGCATGAACGAGTTCTAGGACATGAAACAAAACACTCCGTCGTTGATTGTCTCGCAGGAAGAGGGCTGAACGAACCAGGGCAGCGATTTCTGAGCTGATGGCTGCAGGAGAGTAACAGAATCGAGAGAACATGCAGTCACGCGGGCGATGCGAGGTGGCAAAATTAACTCAAGACCCTTTACATTCGATTGCATGCAGCACTTGAAATAACGGTTCCTGAAGTTTGAATACTTAGAGCTAGCATGGTGGCGCTCCTAAGCAGCTGTGCAGTTGAATGACTTCGGCTGTCTTGGCTCACTGACAGCTACTGTTCTCAGACACCTTTCTGCAGTGCCTTGGCTGCACTTTCGAGAGCCTAAATTGAATGTGGAATTTAAATAATGCATTTAAATGGGTAAAATCTATGCATTATTTATATTTATAGATGTAATGATAGTGTAATACTAACTATAGGAATAGTAATACTAACCTTAAAATTAGGCACACCAGCACTCTGGAGTCCTGGGCCTGATAAGGCTAACGTCCGGCGACCGGTGCCCTTTTCTCAGTCTGTGCGAACCGGTGCAGTATGGGCATGGCATGAGCATGGTCAATGAGAATCCTGCAAATTAATACAGCATCTGGAGTAGCGAAGCTGCTGACAAGGATTGACGACATGGTGCTGATTCCCAAGAAGTCCCGCCGTGCCATCCTGGAGCACCTCTTCAAGGAAGGCGTCATGGTCGTGAAGAAGGACTACCAGGCGTGCAAGCACAACGAGCTGGAAGACATCCCTAACCTGCACGTCATGATGGTGCTGCGATCGCTGGCTTCCCGCAACTACCTGTCGGAGATCTACAGCTGGCAGTGGCACTACTACACCCTGACCAACGAGGGCATCGAGTACCTCCGTGAGGTGCTTCATCTTCCTCAGCAGGTCTTCCCCCAGACCCTGACCAAGCAGCGCCCCACCCGACCAGCCCTGGCTGGCGGTGACGCCGGTGAGGGAGGAGGCAAGGGAAAGGGCAAGGGCAAGGGCGCGTGGAACCGCGGCGAGGAGCCTGTCGTTTGCTTACAGACTGCGGCCCATCTAAACCCTAAACCCTAAACCCTACACACGCAAAGTGAAGAGACCCGGCCAGGAGGAGGGCTAAGCGCAATCAACATCAAGCTGCAGGCTGCGGAAGGAGTGTTGGGCAGAAGCTCACGGAAGATCCCAGAAAAAGCTTATGCCTGCTGGTCAGCTTGAGGGTTGAGGCTTTAGGGCTTATTTGGGGTTAGGGTTTAGGGTTTAGGGTAGCTCCCTAGGTTACGGAATTTCATGGTTGTTTGAGTATACTTTATCAAGGGGGGCCGAGACGCTTTTGTTGCCTCTTCGCGAGTGTTGTCGTGACGATGTGCTTGCAAAGCCATTGGCTGCCGGTGTGCGAAGTAGCCCTACGCATGTTCTTTTTTCTGCTGAATTCTCTAGGGTCGATAGTAGCCCGCCCCAAACCCGAAAACCCTAAACCCTGCAACCCTAGACCTTGCAGACTTGAGTCACGGCATTTCGAGCCCCTTTAATTCTTGCTATTTGTCTAGAAATCTCAAGTTAATAGCCTAGAGAACTATTGAACCATGAGCCTAAACCCTCACCCTAAACTACAGGTTCCGAGACCGAGACCGTAGAACCCTAAAGGCCCTATAAACTGCCAAATCCGCAAACCTAAACCCATAAAAAGCCCACACCCCCTAAACTCCCGAAACACCTCACCCCTAAACCCTGAACCTCACACCCTAAACCCTCAACCCCTTCTCATTTGAACGACAACATTAGTTGTTGTGAGAATATCATTAAGTAGATTAGACCCTAAACCCTAGATCCTAAACACCTCAAACCCCTAAATCCCACGGCTATGGCGCGGGGCCTCGGCCTGCCGCTGAAGCGCCGGCGGCTGGGGAGGCATCACGGGTCAGGGTTTAGGGTTTAAAGGGTTTTAGGGTTGTAGGGTTGCAGGGTTGTAGGGTTTCAGGGTTTCAGGGTTTCAGGGTTTTAGGGTCTTAGGGTCTTAGGGTTTAGGGCCTAGTTTAGGGTTTAGGGTTTCGGGATTATGTTTTTGCGGGGGTTGCGGGGGTTGGTTTTGTTTTTAGGTGTTTAGTTCTTCGGCTTTGGTTGTGGGTTGGAGGTTAGCTTCGGATTTAGGGGTTTGGGTTTTTCAGGGTTTCGGTTGGGTTCAGGGTCTGTGGGCTGAAAGGCTGTTTTCAGGCGTAGGCTTGAGGGTAATAAAGACTTGCAGTCGGAGGTAATTGATAAGGGTTCAAAGGTTTAGGGTTTAAGGTTTAGGGTTTAGGGTTTAGGGTTGGGCTTCAGAGTTGATTGTCTGCTTGCAGGCCATATCGAGCCGCCACCGTGCAGGCAGTGGGGAGGGTGAAGGTCGGTTGTATGGCAGCAATGCCGTCCAGTGCCCCTTGTGCTGCATGTGCTGCGCAACGTGCGCGTGATGCACAAACCCTAAACCCCAAACCCCAAACCCTAAACCCTAAACCCTAAACCCTAACTGTTTCAGGAGCAGCGAGCTCCTTCAGCACCGGTGGGGCAGAGCTCGAACCAGCCGGCATCGGTGGATGCTGCCACCGGCAGCTGGGCAGAAGAGGCTGGGTGTGTGACGGCTGGGCTACGAAGCTGGTGCACGTAATATCGGGGGGCCGGAATAGCTACCAAGAATATTCCCTTTTGGTCCCTTTGTAATTATATTATATGCTATAGTAACCGCCCAAGACCCTACTCTAATAATTCAGGCCCCGATATTGCCCTGGCAGGCCGTGGCCCATGCCCGCACTTTGCTGGGGGACAGGCCACCACGAACCTCAGGGCTTGCACATGGCAGGTGGAAGCAATCTTTCAGAGATCCACCCGAAACCTTATAAATTGGGATTTTCCTTTTACTAGCAGTCCTTCATAGGGATCATAATAGGGGCAGTACAAATCCCGCATTCACAGATCCTGCGAGGCCGCCTGAGCAAGGTGTCCCGGAGGCTGCGTGCCCGTATGACCTTGGGGCCAAACGATCCCTAAAACTGGGTTTAGGGTTTGGGGTTTAGGGTTTAGGGTTTTAGGTTTAGGGTTTAGGGGTTTATATACTGTATGCCACCGCAATCCCTAGGCAAAAGCACCGTGCACCTTTTTTGGGGGGTTCGTTTGGTCCCGAAGAGTGGTCGGTAGAGTTGGAGGATCCAAAAATGTGAATCCCTTTGCGTAGTCCTCATGATGACCTAGAGGGCACTTTTTGGGGGTTCTACTTTTTGGATCCCCTAAACCCTAAACCCTAAACCCTAAACCCTGAACCCTAAAAACCCTAAAAATCCTAAAAACCCTAAAAACCCTAAACCCTAAGCCGTGGCTCTGTTGGGTCTGGGAAGACAGAGTTGCGGGATGCCCCGAGCCTGGAAGGCAGCTGCGCTACTGTCAACTGTCCTCCTCAGACTCCCAGAGCTTTGGTCTGAGCTGGCTCAGGACTTAGGGTTTAGGGTTTGGGGTTTGGGGTTTAGGGTTTGGGGTTTAGGGCTTAGGATTTAGGACTTGGTGTTTTGGGTTGAGGGGCACCGCGGGCGGTAACCCAACCTTGATTTTACTGCTGGGCAGTTTCCCAACCTTGCTTTTACTGCACCGGACTGTGCCGCATGTGCCGGGTACTCGAAGGGAGTCCCATCTCATACCCACCAAAACAGCGCACAATCCCGCTTTCAATGACAGCCCAACAAGGAACCCCCATTTCTGGAAGGGCACCCGAATCTTGCGGACACACACTTTCCCGAAACCCTAAACCCTAGACCCTAAATCCTAAACCCCAAACCCCAAACCCCAAACCGACCCAGCTTTTCAAATCCGTGTGGCCCGGCGAGGACACATTACTCGCCTTCGGGAGCTCTTCCACTGCGGGCGACGCCTCTGACTGTGCCAGGAGCACGTTTTTGGACAGAGTGTTTAGGGCTCAGGGTTCAGGGTTCAGGGTTCAGGGTTCAGGGTTCAGGGTTTAGGGTTTAGGGTTTAGGGTTTAGGGTTTAGGGTTTAGGGTTTAGGGTTTAGGGTTTAGTAGGGTTGGAGGCTCATGCTTCCTCGCCCGGGCATGTCGGGAGGAGCAGAAGTGGAGGACCGGCGTTTGCCCGAAACTCAGATCCGCTCACTGGCAGCATGGGCTCAGGATTTGGGGTTTAGGGCTTGGGGTTTGGGGTTTAGGGTTTAGGGTTTAGGGTTTAGCGTGTATGCCTGGGCCCTACGTTTCCAAACCCCCCAGGTCTGGACCACATGAACCCCAAAAGAGTTTTCTTTGTCATATACAAAATGTGTATATATATATATAGATCTTACTAGGAGATGATAGCGGCACAGGGTACATGATCCCAATTTAAGGGTAATCTGGTTACCGACATGTCGCGCGACAAGGTTGCAGGTCGCGAAGACTTGACTGCGCGATCGAGGCACAGCCAAGGAAGTTTAACGTTTCAGAGAAGAATCAGGGTGTCGGGCTTTGGTTTTCAGGTTTAGGGGTTGAAGGGAACCCTGACGCCTACAAACCCCAAACCCCACAAAGCCTGGATTTTAGGGGCTTAGGACTTAGTCCCCTGTACCCTTGAAGTCCACACAAGAAGAGCGAGCTAAACTCAGGCTCAAACCATGTGTGGTTTAGGCTTGAGGTATATGGCTTAGGCTCTCCATCTTGCGAACCCCAAATCAGACTTCTAAGCTATTGCTAGTCGACAATTTGCTGTAGGACTCTCAGACTCTCAGGTGAAAGAAGTTTCTTGTTACTGTAAACCCGAAACCCTATATCCTAAACTCTAAACCCTAAACCCGAAACCCTACATCCTAAACCCTAAACCCTATATCCTAAACCCGAAACCGTAAGCCCTAAACCCTTTCAGCATATGTTGCCATCTTACAGCTTTACTGAACCCCAGCGAACCAGGTCAGGGTCCTACATGAATCATAATCCTAGACCCTAAAACCGTAAGCGATTTAATCGTGTCATACTCCCTAAAAATCCCTATAAAATAAGATAGAGTCAAAAGCTACAAGAACCCCATAAACCCTGTAAGATAACCCTAAACCCTTAACCCTAAACCCTTTCAGCACCCTAAACCCTCTAAACAGCACAGGATGCTCTTCCTGTCAGCCGTGGCATCTGCCGTCTGCCCCCCCCACGCCAAGGCTGCCGACGAACCCTGCATTTGTTGATTTAGGGTTTAGGGTTTAGGGCGGTGTAGGGTTCAGGGTTTAGGGTTTAGGGTGTTGGGCTAACACACTACTCAAGGATGGAGCGCAAGCGTGGCTGTTGATCTACTGGCCACCGGTTTCGTGCCATCAGGCACTCATCAGCCATACAGCTGCGATAAGCAGCTGTAGATCAGCAACGTCTTGGACATTTGTGCTGCTATTTTATGTGCATGCTCACCCCGGCACGAAATTGTACCGGTATGTCTGCCAGAAAAGACTGAAAGAACATTTCCAAGCAACTGTCAACTTTTCCTCTGGCAACGTTGATTCTTTGAAAGCATGAAAACGTGCTAATCTGGCTTTCAACTTGTTCCATGCGGTTTGAAGCCCAAGACGTTTGGCCTCTTCAAGGGTTTAGTGTGGGTTGTGTGATTGACCTTCTAGCTATGAAGGATTTCCTTTTTTGGGGGGGGGGGGGGGGGACCTCGCGGAGAGCGTAGGCTCCTCAGAGTGTTCGACGTATTTTAGCAGCTTCCAGGGCCTGCAGACTTTGGGGCTTATGGCTTAGGATTTAGGGTTGGGGTTTAGGGTTGGGGGTTTAGGGTTTAGGGCCTCTAGAAGTTTCTAGATGTTACATCATCCGGCATCCCGCAGCCATAAGCCCTGGCCCTGCACCAAGACTTCACGCAGGCGGGAGATGTGCAGTCGTCATGGCCTCGGTGCACGCAGCTTCGGGACTCCACCTCAAGACTGTCAGGGTTTAGGGTTTAGGGTTTAGGGTTTAGGGTTTAGGGTGTAGAGTAGGGTTTAGGGTTTGAGGCTTTTGGGATGTAGGTCCCTATACACCCTAAACCTGTTAGAGGGCTCTGGGGCTTGTAGGGCTCCGAGGGGAGTTATACGGTCCCTTACTATGGCCTTACCTTCTTCAAAAAAGGGTTCTCCAGTATGGGCCCGGGGGTTCTATAGGATATAGGGGGTACTTCAAGCTGTTTCCCGAATTGAGGGGCCATGTAACTACCTTTACAGGGTAGTCCCTTGGGTTCATTGTGTTTTCACCCCTTATTGGGTTGCATCATGCTCAGGAATATTTTTGAGAGGGCTATTTCAGGGCCACCCTGGTTTAGATGTAGGATGCCATAGGAATCTTCGACTCGCAGGCCTGCCGCGGCTTCGGTTGCGCTGCTCTGCCTCCTTGGGGAGGCCCGGGAGCGTTCCTTAGAGTTTGGGGTTTGGGGTTTAGGGTTTAGGGTTTAGGGATAGGGCGTTTTCAGTTGTATAGTTCTCTTCCAGCTAGAGGTTCCCGATGTATGTGCGGTTCTCTAGCCTAACGTCCATGTTGAGGTTCATATTCTGGCATGAAGACATTGCGGTTTAGGGTTGAGGGTTTAGGGTTTAGGGTTTAGGGTTAGGGTTGGGGGTTTCGGGCTTCCGGGACCTAGAAGCTAGGCTAGTGGGGAACCCTGTGTCTCTTTTAAGGTTCAGGAGTACCATGTTACCATGTTGCACAACCAAACAACAGACAGCCAGGGTTTGGGGGGTTTTGGGGTTCGTTTTTCTTTCACCCAGTGGTTGCTGGGCTGCAGTTTAGCCCACCCTAAGCCCTGAATAGCCCAAGCCCCAACTTAGTGTTGAAGGGTTAAGCAAAGTTAATGTCCCCGAAGCCCTAAGCCCTAAGCTCTAAACCTAAACCTACACCCCAAATCCCAACCCTTCTCTAGGCAGAATGCGACGAGGGTCGCTTCATTGCTGCGTTCCACTCCCTGAGACAGGCGGAGGCCGGGGGGTCCGCAACAAACTCAACTACAAGCTCTTAAGGGTTTAGGGTCTGGGGTTTAGGGTCTAGGGTTTAGGGTTTAGGGTTTAGGGTTTAGGGAAGACAGCCCTAAACCCCAAAACCCTAAACCCTAAAAGTGCAATTCTTTCCTACAACAGATCCAAGAAGGGTTAGTTTAGACCCATGTCAAACAGTCATGCGGAGATACCGGGAGGGCAGCCTAAGCCCCATAAGCCCTAAGCCCTCTAAGCCTTAAACCCTAAAGCCCTAAACCCTAAACCCTAAACCCTAAACCCTCTGCGCCCCCTTTTGCCCTAGGCTCTGGCAAAGCGAGGTGGCGACCTCCAAGGCGGGAGCCTCAAACGTGCACTTCCTGGCTGCGCACGCCTCCACCACACCACTTCAAACCCTAACTGCCGAGAACCCTAACCCGCAAAATCCCGGAACTCTCCCGAAACCCTAAACACCCCAACCCCTAAACCCTAAACCCTAAACCCTAAACCCTATCCGTCCTCTAAGGCCCTAAACTCAACCCTTGAGCCCGCCCAGGAGCCGCCCGAGCCACAGCTGCCCTCGAAGGGCTGCGGGCCGCCGCGTTGCAGCGCGCGACTCCCAGGGAAGGGTTTGGGGTTTAGGGTTTAGGGTTCGGTCTTCAATAGGGGTGTTTCGGTTTTAGGGTTTTGCTTCTTGTTGTAGGTTTTAGGGTGTCGAGGGGTACCAGGTACCATTCTGCAGGTAATGATATACTAGCTTGACAGTACTTAGACAAGCTCAAACCCTAAGCCCTACAAGCCTGACGCCTCGTGAAACCTAACCCCGAACCCCTAAACTCTAAACCCTAAACGAGGCTGGCATTTTCAGATGATCAACGATGTGCCACGCGGCGAGCAATACGCGGCTCTCCCAGTTCGGCAGGGTGCAGTCAAAGATCGAAACCCCCAAAAAGGGTTTAGGGTTTTAGGTTGGTATGTTCCCCCTTACACTAGCAGTCCTTAATAGGGATTATAGAAATTATAGCACCCCCCCCAATCCCCCCCATTGTAATCCCTATTAATGACTGTTAGTACAAGGGGGGAACATCCCAAGTTGCAGGGTAAATGTGGCATACAGGTATAGAGGGTTCATGGTGCTGACATGTGTACGCCTAGATGGTGAATATACTTTTTGTTTTCTTGTTGGGGGGCTTTAGGGGTTTCCTATCTGCAACAGCTTGAGGGGCCCAAGTATATATGTTGTATAGGCGCCTGAGATTGGCAGGGAGGGCACATGGCAGGCCACAACTCGTTTGTCCGGCATCTCCTCTTGGGGTTTAGGGTGTAGGGTTCTGAGAGATTCCCCTATACATCGCCCTAGAGCCCTGTAACCGCTAAAATGGCCCCATAGTCCCATGTCCCTGCAGCCTCAACCCTGCCCGGACAGAGCCCACTGCCCCCTGAAGTCAAGATTCAGACGTCTACCTCTAAATTAGGGAGTATTGGGCCTGGCATATTATGGCCCTAAGCACCTTTAGTTAACTTGGTAGGCCTGTGGTGCCCTTTTGCCTTTTGAAGCTCAAGGTTCCCGTCTGAAGTAACCAAACCCCCCAAAATGGTACCCTTACTGTAACATGGTTACTCGGCTACCAAGTTAAACCCCCTTTACTTTTCCTGAAAGCCCTAAACCCCTAAAACCTACACCCTAAACATCTCTAAACCCTAAACCCAAGACCCTAAACCCTAAACCCTAAACCCTAAACCCTAAACCCTAAACCCTAAACCCTAAACCCTAAACCCTAAACCCTAAACCCTAAACCCTAAACCCTAAACCCTAGGGCCGGGCCATCGCCTCAGCCGTGGCTCAGCTCGCAGCGAGGCCCGAGGCCAGTACCAGGGCGAGCGGAGAAACGCGGGCCATTCATGTAGGGTTTAGGGCTTGGGGCTTACGGTCTACAGCCACGGTTGCGGGTTTAGAGTGTCATTTAGGGTTTCGTACTTCTGAGCTCGGGATGTCTGTTCCCATTCATAGGACCCTAAACTTTGGGATGTTCCCCCTTATACTAACAGTCCTTCCCAAGACCTAGCTTAGGGGCCCGTTTCGGGGTGACAGTACCCATGACTACTACCGCCCCTGGTACGGGTCCCCCCAAAGCGGAACTCCATGACTTGGAGAGTCCTCACACACTTCAGGCTGACCAGAGCCTTTTGGAATGATCCCTGGAAAAGGGTCAATCCGAAGCCCTAAACCCCAAACCCCAACCGCCTTACTAAAACCCTGCTGACCTCATCGGAGTCCCAGGAGGGTTTTGGGGGTTTTTTGGCATTTCCTAAACCTTCCGAAGCCCTAAGCTCCTGAGTCCTGAAAGCATGCGGCTTCACTGCGCTGCGGTCCAGGAAGTCTAGGTACAGCCATCTCATCCGTGGCCGCTCCAAGTTACCGTAGCGATAGCCTGCCCTAAACCCTAAACCCTAAGCCCTAAACCCTAAACCCTAAACTATAAACCCTAAGTAAACCCTAAACCCTAGGCCCTAAACCCTAGGCCCTGTGTTTCCCCTTTGCAACAGCCCAGTTCATTCGGCAGGTGCGCTCGCGAGGTGGGGTCACGGCTTTGGACATCGGAACTGGGACCGGTCTGCCCCGGGCTGAGGCTCGGGGTTTAGGGTTTGGGGTTTCGGGTTGAGGGAAAATAGTAACTAGTGGTTCAGGGAGTGTGAATCTCCGAGCAACCGAGGCTGGCCCTCATGTGTGCGCAGCAGAAGGCGCAACCGGGTGCCGATCTTTTCTCTGCAAGCCGATGCGGCGTCTGTTCGTCATGTGCAGGGCGTGCGGGAAGTTCATGCGTGCGAGATGAATGAAGCCCTCTGTGCGGTTGCCAAGGAGGCAGGAGATTTTGGAAGGTCTTTGAGCACGGAATTTGTACTGTTTTCAGGACTTATGATGGGATTCTCAACCTTCGAGGGCTGATCGAAACTATGGGCCGTTTCTCAGTTCATCAACCCTAAACCAGTATGAGGCTTCCATCGAGACCCCGTAGTTGACGTTCAAGCCCAATACACCCCTCAGCAGCGTGCAGGTCATTGCATCCCAGAGTACGTCTCACTGCCCGATCACGCTGCACCCCAACGTTGTCGTCTCAGCGCCTTTCGATCAAAGCTGTGCTCACTTTGACAATCGAGCACTGACTCTAACATCCCCAAAGCCGAAGGAGGCAGAAACTCAAACAACAAGCCCAAAGAGCCAGACGCTGACTGGTTAGGGTATAGAGCTTGGGGTTTCTCAAAACCTTGGGGGCTCCTGTAGAGTCAGGATCATAGTATTTTCAGCCCCCAAACCCGAAACCCTAAAACCTAAACCGTCTACCCTAAACCCTAAGCCCTAAATCCAAAACCATAAACCCTAAACCCTAAACGCTAACCTCTTGTCTGAGGTCAGCACGGCACTCTCTTTGGAGGAGCCCGTGGACCTCGTCTTCTGCGAGGTCTTCGATGCGGGTCTGCTGGGCGAGCTTGGGCCCAAGAAACCTTGGGTTTTGGGATTGGGGGTTAGGGCTTAGGGCTTAGGGGTTTAGGGCACAACTGGGTGTTTTGAAGGTTTTTTGGGGGTCTTGGTGAGTCCCTAAGGTTTTGTTCAAGGCTCTTGCTGGTCTTTAGGGGGTTTGAGGGCTCTTGCTGGGCTGTTAAAGGTTTTTTGTTGTTGGGGCCTCTTACTGGTTTTGTGAAGGTTTTAGGGTTCTTGCTAGGTTTTTACAGGCTTTTAAGAGCCTTCAGGGCTTAGACGGTTTTAAGAGTTTTGCTAGGCAGGGTTCAGGGTCTATAGGGTTTGGGTTACCGTCTTTACAAAGAAAGTTTGCGCGAGCAAAACAACTGGCGCACACATTGTTTTAATCTTCACGTGCCCTTCATGGGCTGCTGTTCTTGACAAAGCTTACACGGGTTGAAAGTAAACAAAAAGGGGGCTTGGCCATTTATAACTATTCCAGTACTCTTATTGTTATTCCCCCGGGCCTAGCAGTAGGGCTTTGGGGGTTAGAGTTTGGGCGTTCGGGGTTTAGGGTCTAGCGGTTGACGGATTCATGTGGGAGGTTCCCCTTTTTCGGTGGTTCCTCTTGCAACGGAAAGGCGTCTCTCAAGGTGGCCCAAAAAGGCCCTCTCTCTAGGTAGGTTACCAGGATCCTGACAATGACTTCCGTTCGTGCTTGCTTAGGGTTTGGGGTTTGGGGTTTAGTGTCACACCTGTGCCTGCAGCTTGTTATCGACTAATGTTGGGGTTTGGAGTTTTGATGGCTTAACGTGTTTAGGGTTTAGGGTTTAGGGTTGAAGGTTTAGGGTTCGAGTACTTGGCACTGGTGCAGCTGCCCGCTTTTACAGGCGCCTAGAAATAGGTCTAGGACAAGTCGCGCAATGCACCCGCCCAGCCGCACCCTATACCCGAACCCCTAAGCCCTAAACACCCCAAGTTTATAACATGTCCGTAGACACAAAGACGCAGAAGCAATCGAATCCCCAGCCCACCCAATAGCCGAGGGTTCAGGGTTCAGGGTTCAGGGTTCAGGCTTAAACCTAAGCCCTAGACCCGAGAACCCCAACACGTAAACCCAAACTCTTTCTGAGGCACGCGCTGCCGACCATCCTTCATGCACGCAAGGCACACGGTAACCCCATGAGCTTGTTTTTGGGGTTTGGGTTTCGTCACCCTCAGGCTAGGATCCCCTTATCCAGGTATCCTCCCTTGAGAAGGTTTGATGTTCCCTGCTGTGTGATTCAGGAGATTTTACTTCGGAGTGTGTTTGAAGAGGGCTTTAAGCGCCGACGCAGAAGACCCTAACGTAGAAGAACTCCCCATTTGTAAGCATTCATGCTGACTGCTACTTGGACCGCCAGCGTCCAGTCTCGTGAACCCTTCAACCCGAAAACCCAAGACTCTCCGCTGGAGTCCCTGCGAACATCCAGCTGCTGCTAGCGGCCGTTGAAACAGCCGAATCTGTAGCAACCTTTCCAAACCAATCCTAAACTCGTGTTGCCAGATAATCGCTGTCGCGTTTGACGACTACAGAGTGCGATTTTGGGGGGATGGGCAAACCAAAGAGTCCTCCGTGTTTTCTAAGTCTTTCCAGGGATCAATGTGATTTCGGAAGCAACAAGGGGCAACCCCAGACCCTAAACCCTATCAGAAGGGGGAAGCATGAACCCGAAGCCCTAAACTCTAGACCCTAAACCCTACGCTACCTCCCCCGAAAACTCCCTACTCGCTGCGCCTCCGTATGGCTGGCTCCCATAGGCTTCCCAAGAGGGGGTCGCATTTGATGGAGTTTTTTCTGGAACCACCGTAGACCCTGAGCTGTGAACGCTATGGGGTTTTCGGTTTAGGGTTTGGGGTTTAGGATGTAGGGATTAGGGTTTCGCCCTAAACCAAGATTCCTACATAAACCCTAAGCACCCTAAGCCCGACGCCCTCAAGTGAAGGTGGCCGCAATGTGCCACCCCTAAACCCTGAACCCTAAACCCTAAACCCCGAACCCTAAAGCCAGGCTCTGCTGCGCAAAGGCGGCCTCCTCGTCCCTGCCCGCGCGCAGCTCTTTGGGCAGCTGGTTGAGGCGGCTTTCAGTTTGCGGGTTTAGGGGGTACGGGGTTTAGGGTTTGGGGCTTAGGGCTTGGGGCTTAATTAGGGCTTAGGGCTTGGGTTTAGGGAGTTGGGTTTCAGGGTTTCAGGCTTGGTAAGCTTTGACAAGGCTCTGATCTCCCCCTTGAGTGGTGTTAGGGTGTTAAAACTTCAGATTCCCAGTCCATACTACATAGGGCTTTTCAACCCTCAACTCTGATCCTGGAAGAGACTAACTCGCCAAAATCCCGGCAGCAAGTTGCCCCCTGATGCTTGTATGTGGCATGGGTTATTAAACCGACTCCTACACCCTAAGCCCCAAACCCCAAAGCCTAAATCCTAAACCCCAGACCCTAATTCCTCAACCCCAAACCCTAAACCCCAAACCAAAGTTGCACCCTGGAAGGCCCCACATCTCTTGGAGCGCTTCGCTGTCCTGCGATCGCCTACCGGGGTTACGGACCTAGAAGCGGCAGAAGGGCCTATTAAGGGCTGTGCGCTTAGTCGCTTTCGGTTTTAGGCTTCGGGGTTTATGGGGTTTGGCGTTTGGGGTTTGGGTGCAGCCAGTCGTGAGACAGCAAGCCAGCGCTCTCAGGCTAGGAGTCCGGTTACGCTGTGTACCTTGGAACATCAATCTGAGAAGCGACTTTGGGGTTTAGGGCTAAGGGCTAAGGGTTCAGGGTTTAGGGTTTAGGTACGGGGTTTAGGGTTCAGGGTTTAGGGTTTAGGGTTTGGGGTTTAGGGTTTGGGTTTAGACCCTCTCTCAGGCACCTTTGAAGGGAGCACGCCTGCGCAACAGGCGGGCCAAAGTGGGCAAGATTGCTGATTGGGCTTTGAGATGCTTTGTTTAGGGCATGTGGGTTTCAGGTTGTTCAGGGCTTCATAGCGTTTCAGAGCTCAGAGCTTAGGGTTGCGGAGGGTTTAGGGTGAAGGGTTTAGGGTTTAGGGTTTAGGGTTTAGGGTTTAGGGTTTAGGGTTTAGGGTTTAGGGCGTTTAGGGTTTTAGGTAACCAGCATCGACAATTCAAGCGCTGTAGGCTGAGTTGAAGTACATGGAGCTGGCTGTCATAATCTTGATAGAAGCTGTGCAGTGACCCAGAGTTTGCTGCTGAGAGTTTAGGGTTTAGGGTCTACAGGGTTTAGAGTTTGGGGTTTATACGGTTTAGGACTTAAGGTCTATAAGGTATAGGGTTTCGAGTTTAGGCTTTCGTTCAGACTTAGTCTCTCGACGCAGCTGCGACTGCCCCGCAGTGAGCGCTACAGCTGCGAGACGATGTCCGCGATACCCCACGTGCCGCTGACGGAGCCGGTGCCACTGGCAGCGTGCTCAGCTGCTTTCGGGTGGGGGGGGTTGCGAGCCCTAAACCCTCAACCCTGTAAACCCCATAACCCCATAAGCCCCATAAGCCCTATAAGCCCTAGAAGCCCTGTAAACCCTACAAGCCCTATGAGCCCTATGAGCCCTAAACCCCACAAACCCTAGAAGCCCTAAACCCAGAGAGCTCAAGAGCCCTCAGCATTCCTCAAGCCCACAACACGAAACCCCGAAACACTCACACAATGAGCGTGAAGGGTATATTAAGTACTTGTTGCGGGCACGCCCATCTACGGAAATGCCCAAATGAAGGATCCCTCTTTAGTTTAAATAAAATCTTCCCTAACAAAGGGGCATTGTAGGTTCTCTGACTTAACTTGTGGCTGCTGCAAAAGGCCGGCAAGCGCCGCTTTTTGAGACGCAAGCCTCAAGCCCAGTTAAACCTCAAATGCTGAGCCGCATAAGGTTCCTAGGATTTCCTAGGTTTCGTCGGGTGTAGGGTAGGGTTTAGAGCCTTAAGCCCTGAACCCTAAACCCTAGGGCTTGTAGGTTGAGAGGGTTCAAGGTGAAGCTGGACTTCCAAGAGATTGAGTATCTGTGAGGGCCTCGGACTTGTTGGTACCTGCTTCCCGGTGCACTTCGGGGTTTAGGGTTTAGGGTTTTGGGTGTGGGGTACGAATCCCGTCAGTTCCGGGATAGACCCTTTATCTGGCTGGGATTTTCCAGAAAGTAGTTTCGCCCTTGTTGGGGGGTTCCTTAAGGGTTAAAAGGTTTTGATATATCTAAGGGTGGATTCCTATTGTGGGAGATGCCCGTGTTGCAAGAGATTCAGGTTCTGCCCCCCTCTCCACGTAGAGAAGACTTGCATTATTGGCGTTAATTACGCAGGAAGACGAATTTTGTCCATACGAAGAGCCGTCCGCTTGGAGCCTGTGCGGGCCCGATGCTACAATGCTACAAGACCGCCATCGCTCCGTACACCGGCGTCTCACTTGTTTTCTTCGTTGGTTGGCCCAAGTTTTGGGGGCACCAAGTTTTCAGCACACCTCCCACCCCCCCCCCCCCCCCCCCCCCTCACCCTCCCCAGAAGCAGGAGGCTCTTCAACCTTGCAGTTGCACAAACTCGTACAAGTTCCACGCAAGTTGGGTTGGACTAGATTGGCATTTCCCAACACAGGGGTACGCCCCTTATACCTCCCAAGTCGAGCATACTCCGAAATTTGCGTAAGCTGGAGGTTGAGTTTCTGGCCAGAGCCTCCGAACAGAGCTGAGCAGAACGTAAGGCATTGAGTCTATCCCTCTACTCTACATGCATGATGAATGTCTTATGTACAACTTTCTTAATACGTTAACCCCTAAACCCCTAACCCCTAACCCCAAACTAACCCTAATTCTCTATCTAGGGCTATACTAATGTGCCATCCGAGGTACAGCAACTTGGGCAACTGGATCGATCCGCCGGTGGAGATGCATGCCACCCATGTGCGGAGCCCCAGGTAGGGTTTTAGGTTAGGGTTTCGGGTTTAGGGTTTAGGGCATAGGGTTAGGGTGGTTTAGGGGCATGGGGCTTTCTCCAGCGTTAAAGCTTGCGCCTGATTGACTTTCTAAAGCGGGTGAGCCAGAAGCCCGAAAGCCCAAAACCCCAAAGCCTTGTAAACCCTGGCAGAGCGAAGATGGTGACCTTAGGGGTTGGGGGGTGGGATGGTGTATCATGCATGAGCTTTGTCGTATTTTGGGTTGTTCAGCTCATTCCGCCCCCAACCCAAGCCACACCACGAGGGGGGACGGGGTTCGCTGTAGACCCAGCCCTTGCTCACCGGCTCTCAGCGTGGGAATGCCAAAGGCTGGCGTGGCGCAGTTCTTGGTGTTTTGGTGGGCCGGCGCCTGAGAAACACCATGTGCCACCTAGAGCTGCAAGGCTGTGTGACTGATTCGGGTTTAGGGTTCCACGATGCTGGAATCGCTCCCACCTGGTGCCGAATAGGAGATTGAGCTGGATGCGGACGGACTCTGGCGTATCAGCACCTCGCCAGAAGGCCCGAACAAGTACTCAGTCCATCAAGCTCCCTTGCTTGCGTGCACACAAGCATAAGGTGCTAGGTTAGCTGACTTCCGGTGATGCATTTGAAGACGTTCAAATGTGCCCCCTAAGCCCTAAGCCCCGAGCCCTGTAAAACCTACACCCTGTGCCAAGTCATCGGTTCACTCGTTAAGGAACATACCTCTAGTCGTCTTCATTTTCTCGGGTACCCTAAACCCTGAATCCCCTAAACCCCAAAACCTCTAAAACCCCCTAAACCCCTAGACCCCTAGACCTAAAACCCCTAAAACCCCTAAACCCCTAAACCCTAATCCCAATTCCTGCGCAGGGGGCTGTGAGTCCTGGGAGCAGGCCGCGAGCATCTCAGCCAACTCTTTCCTTTTTCGTGTTCTTTCGCAGACCCAGAGAACCCGATGACGCGTGGGTATGGGGTGTTTAGGGTTTGGGGTTTGTGGTTAGGGTTTAGGGTTTAAGGTTTGCGGGTTTGGGGTTTAGGAACACAGCTGAAAAATAGATAGTTTAGGGTTTAGGGATCAGGTTAACTCAAGTCGGGGATCCTTGACTAGGCCTATATTCCTTAGCTGAGGGCCATTGCCTCTCTGAAGATTCAGAACCCTAAACCCTAAACCCTAAACCCTAAACCCTAAACCCTAAACCCTAAACCCTAAACCCTAAACCCTAAACCCTAAACCCTAAACCCTAAACCCTAAACCCTAAACCCTAGACCGATGGCTCGGCTGTGAGGTTCGCCCTCTGTATGGCTGGGATTCTGGCGGATGCCTCCGTGTACAGCCCGGGGAGCTCCTCCACCTTCACCTGCGCGTGCAGGCCCGGTTTAGGGTTTAGGGTTTAGGGTTCAGGGTTTAGGGATTAGGGTTTAGGGTTTAAGGTTTAGGAAGGAATGTGGAGTTTTTCTCCCACAAAGGGTACCGTAATGTAGGAAACTACCCACATTCTCCTTGGGAATGTGGTGTTTTTGGGTCTCTGATTCCGCTCATGCAACACGAGGGACATTTGTCGCGACAACCCGTACACCCTGAAACCCCCCAAAAAGCTAAACCATGTAGTGTCAAAAGGGACGAGAGGAGGGATCCGCATACGCGACCTTAGGGGTTCTGTGTATATAGGGACGAAAAAAGGTATACATAGGGGTTATTTAGGGAAATAAGATTAAGGGTCCCCGCTAGGGGCCCCTCCTGATACCCCCTAGGTGTGTCGAGGGTACGAACAAAGGTCCGCAGTTCAGGGGCAGCCACCATATGAGAGTCCATGCGTGGGCACGCGAGCCTGTAGACCCTATGTTCACCCTAAACCCTAAACCCTAAACCTTAGACCCTAGACCCTAAACCCTAAACCCTAAACCCGGCGAATTTGCCCATGCAGGCTGATGGCATCGAGGTGCTGCTGGAGGATGCCCGGACCTGGAACGAGCAAACTCATCTCCTCCAGTAGCCATCTGTGAAGTACCACACGAGCCTTAAACCCTAAACCCTAAACCCTAAACCCTAAACCCTAAACCCCATCTTGATGGTCCTTCTTTGGGGGGGGAGGAGGGGGAGCTGCCTAGGCCCTGAGCAACATTAGGGTTTAGGGTTTGGGGTTTGGGGTTTATGGTTTAGGGTTTAAGGGCTTAGGGCGGCTTAGCAGGAGGCGCCGAACGCGCAGGAGGTCTGCGCAGAACCCGAGGTCCCTGCCCGGCGTTTCTATTTGACATGAGGGTAGGGTTTAGGGTTTAGGGTTTAGGGCTCAGGGTTTAGGGTTTAGGGTTTAGGGTTCCCAAAAAATTTGGTGTCCTTGTTTTAAGGGCATCGTACTATGTAGGAGGGGACCTACAACCGGACCCTAAGTTGGAGAACTACTCATGTACAGCCCCATACCCGAAACCCAACGTCTAGCCCTAAAGCCTTGCCGCAAATCGCTCTACTGCGCTTTGAATGCAAAGAAACGGCTTGGGGTTTAGGGTTTTGGGTTTAGGGTTTTGGGTTTTGGGGTTTAGGGTTAGGGTGGTTTAGACGCTGGCATTGGGACAAACTCGGGGATTACATAATGGGCCCGAATGGGCTCCCGAGAAAAGGCGGCCCTCATGGAGAACAACCCTAAACCCTGAACCCTGAACCCTAAACCCTAAGCCCTATCCCTCAACCTTGAACCCTAAACCCTAAACCCTAAACCCAAAACCCCAACCCGTCAAGGAAGTCATTGTTTTGACAGCCATATTGGCCCTTGGCTTCCAAACCTTCCCTGCTGTCGCGCTGCAAATCGAAGTGCGTTTTGAGCGCAAGGGCGGCTCTGCAGAAGAGTGGCAAAACCGACCCTAAACCCCAAACCCTGCACCTCACACCCTAAACCCCAAACCCTAAACCAAACCCGAAACCCTAAGCCCTCTAAACCCTAAAAACCCTAAAAACCCTAAAAACCCTAAGCCCTAAGTTGATCCGAGGTTGCGCTGGTGGGGCATGGCCCCAACTTGGTGGCGAAATTTGGGCACGCAGTTCGACATATCGTCCGTTTATGCGGTGACTTCAGGGGCCCGCTTCCCTCCCGACGAAGCCACGGTGAAGGGCAAAGACCTACTTCAGAAAACAGATGTGGGGGCGGCCCACATCCTTGACCCCAATGTTGGGTTGGGTATCTTGGTAGGGTCTTGGGACATGTTACCTTTTCCCCTATTGGGCTTACGAGGATCATATTCAGGAATAATTGTCAGAGGGTTTCTAGGGGCCATCCTAGGTATCAACTACGCAGTTATGGCTTGGCACTGGGCCATGGTTCTGGTGTTCTTGGTGCTGTATTTCGGGATGATAGCCCTCACCACACCCCTGCAAGAAAGCATCCCCTGGCTGACGCTGGTGCAAAAGCTCTTGGTGTTCTGGAACATGTGGGAAGCGCTGGGGCTCGGAGTTATTTCGGGGCCAATGCACGCCAAAGTGAACCCACCTTTTCAGGACTGGTGGTATCGATGGACGGTTGGTACCATGAAGTACAACGCCCCCTTCCTTCCTTGTCTGCCCAACCGGCGAAACTACTTGGACGTCCTCGTGGAGGGTGTCCTGGTGTATCTGCTGACACTTCGAGTCCTGGTCTCTCCGGAGGTCACGCCAGCGCTTATGCGGCCACTCACGGCGTGCCTGACTCCAGTCCAGCTCTTGCAAGCTTTTGCTTCTCCAGGTTGGGAATGCTAGGGCCTCTTGACGTCCATGTCTAAGCTTCGTGTATACGCCTGCTTGGAATGTGAGGATCTACGAGTTCCTCTTCGACTACGGGCAGCACATGCACACATATGGAACTCAGACGATGTACTGCTTCTTCTGCATGTGCTTCACTGTGGAGCAGGGTCAAGTGGCGGGCCTGCAGCTGTTCATGACCTGGCTGCGAACTCAGTGGGCAGGAGACCTGCATGTGTGCAAACCTAAACCCTAAACCCTAAGAGCATGGCCTCCGTGGCAACTCAGGTTCTACGTCTGCTCTGGCTGGCCCTGCCCTTAGCCCGAGTCGACATCGACAGCACACAGTAGCCCCAACTACCACATAAATTGTCTAGGTAGGCCCGGGGGACGTTCGCCATATCTTCCTTCTTTTCGGGGATCATAATTTTCAAGGGCCTTCTCAAAGTTTCCTAAAGGCCAACTTTGAGGTGATGCCCCACCGATCCTAAGCCCTAACCATAAACCCTAAACATCCCTAGGCCCTAAACCAACCTCATTGAGGTGCAAGATCGGGCCATGGTTCAAGTACCTGAACGTCAGCAACCTGTGGTCTGCGGCTCTCCGCAGTTAGGGTTTAGGGTTTAGGGTTTAGGGTTTAGGGTTTAGGGTTTAGGGTTCATAGGCTTGTACTGTTAACAACCCGAAGTGCCAGAGAGCCCACTGGCCTTCAATGAAGGATTCTTAAGAGGCACTGGGCTCTCTGGGTGTTCCTAGGCTACTGCGGGACCGAGGCGAAGTACATGGTGAGCATGCCATGGTCAGACTGGTACCGGCGGGTGATGTACAAAGGACCCCCCCAAAGCCCTAAACCCTAACACCCCCTCCCCCCCCCCCGCTTGTGGAGAGATGTTTGTTTTGTGTTTATTGTTTCAGGGGTTCACGTGGTCTCGAAGATGCAAGTCATCCATTGGCTCTTACAGCCCCTTTCGTCCCTAGATGCTTTCCTGAGACTAGCAGGGTTTAGGGTTTGGGGTTTAGGGTTCAGCAGCTAGCTTTCACAAGTCGAGGTTTTTCATCACACGATGGAGAGGTACTCGCCCACCCACAGAGTCTCATAACATTAAGAACATGTACTCGTACCGTTTTCTTTTTGCTCACCTGCACCCTACCTTAAACCCTCGGCCCTGAACCCTAAACCCTAGGCCCTGAACCCGAAGCCCTGAACCCTAAACCCGAGGCCCTGAACCCTAAACATGGGTTCTGAACCCTAAGCCCTCGGCCGATTGACCGGAATTTGAAACACAACGGTGGCAGATTGACGGACATCGTAAAAAGCCTTAAATACATTAATAAGTATACATGTATATGTATATGTATGTGTATACAGGGAGGGGTAGGGGGGGGGGGGGGGGCCCGCCGGGGCTGAACCATATATATAATATATATGATTCAGCCCCGGCGGGACCCCCCCTAATGGGGTACTAAGATGATACCCCCCCCCCCTGTGGTGTGGTTGGGGGTTGGTTTTAGGGTTTTAGGGTTTAGGGTTTAGGGTTTAGGGTTTAGGGTTTTAGGGTTTTAGGGTTTTAGGGTTTTAGGGTTTTAGGGTTTTAGGGTTTTAGGGTTTAGGGTTTAGGGTTTAGGGTTTTCCCCGCGGATGGGGTACTAAGATGATACCCCCCCCCCCCCCTGTGGTGTGGTTGGGGGTTGGTTTTAGGGTTAGGGTTTAGGGTTCAGGGTTTTAGGGTTTAGGGTTTAAGGTTTAAGACTTAAGGTTTAGGGTTTAGGGTTAGGGTTTAGGGTTTTAGGGTTTTTAGGGTTTAGGGTTTAGGGTTAGGGTTTAGGGACGTAGAGTAGACTTGGGGGGGGGGGGGGATACCATGGGGGGGGGGGGGGGGGGGGGGGGGGGGGGGGGGGAACGCCCGACGCTGAACCATATATATGTAGGTAAGAGAGGGTTCAGGGTGAACCATATATATGTAGGTAAGAGAGGGTTCAGGGTCTAGTGTAAACCCTTACATCTTCCCTGAAACCCCAAACACATGACCTCCCAGGAGAACTCCAACCCCTAAACCCTAAACCCTAAACCCTAAACCCCAAACAGGATACAAAGCGTCAGATCCGGACTACCACCTCACCCTCGCCGCAACGATTTTCTCAGCCGCCTGCGCAGTCAGCGAGACTCTAGGGCCCATGTTGCTAGGTCTGAATTGGGTTTAGGGTTTAGGGTTTAGGGTTTAGTTAGGGATTCTTGGGAATATTTTTTGATTTTGGGTACTTTAATTCCTGAAAAAAAAAAGCTAACATTATGTTTTTTTGCCAGGGTTCCAAGTTCAGTATAGGTTTAGTAGGGTTAAGGGTTAAGGGTTTAGGCTTTAGGGTTTAGGGTCCAAAACAAGCAGGTGCCAGTTGTTATCGGGAGTGGGATTGCCCTTATAATTTTATGTTCCTTCTCTGAGCCTAGTATAGTACTGCCCAAACATACCTGTTCTACGTCCATATGCTCCCCTTTAGAACCAGGGATATCTTGCGTGTACCCGGCCCTCATTCGGGCCAAGAGGATCTTTTTGAGAAAGCAATAAACAGCCTAAACCGCTGAGCCCTGAACCCTAACCCCCCAAACCCCCCAAACCCGAAACCTTAAGTCCTAAGCCTTAAACCTAACCCCTAAACCCCCAAGCCCTAAACCCCTGAACCCTTAACCCCTAAGCCCTAAGCCCTAAGCCCTAACCCTGAACCCTGAACCCTAGGCTGGTGCTATCCAACAGCAGCTCTGTTGTGTCTATCGGCATCGTCTTCATCTGCTGCATGCACCTCTACATCATCTCCACGCTCCTAGGACCACCTTAGAGGGGTTTGGGGTTTAGGGTAACCCAAACCCCGACTTGAATCCCAAGACGAGGCTTGGTCCAGGATTCAGACGTTCTCAAGGTCTTGGGTTTATATTGTAGGGTTTAGGGTTTAGGGTTTAGGGTTTAGGGTTTAGGGTTTATATAATCCCCATTAAGGACTGTTAGTATAAGGGGAACATCCCAAGGCGGAGGGTTTTAAAGAAGACGTTGGGGCCCTACACAGGCTGGGGGGTGAGGTGCACAGGACCGGGCTGGAAAGGAATGTTTCGAGGGGGCGGGATGGTTTAAACCCTAGACCCTAAACCCCAAACCCTAAACCTAAACCCCAGAAAGCCTGCCTTAGGCTCATTGTGGACGCCGGCACCCCAGATTAGTGATGAGAGGGGAGAGCGCGTGGAAGTTTGCTAAAAGGGCATGATGTTTATATGGTTTAGAGCGCATGGGGTTCTTAGGGTTTTTCGGCGATTGGGGGGTCTTAGGATTGGTTCACAGGGTTGAGAGTGTGCTGGGGTCTTTCAATGCGGTGGGCAGTCAGCCTAAACCCTAAACCCTAAACCATATAGAGGCTCAGAGGGCGTGAGCTGAAAGAAGACTAGGATGCCCACTAGTACCCTTATTCCCTTTCTGCGGGGGCCTTTCTGCGGGGGCTTATGTTCCCTTAGACACCCCTTTTACGCAAAAACGGGCACCTTTATACTGGTCAACCCAGGTCTTCACCTGGAACTTCGTCGATGCCTTGCTGTACATCTTCCTCTTCGGCTGCTATGGACCTTCGCAAGGCCTCTCAGGGTAATGGCCCCCCGCACTTCTTGTTTAGACAGCGCACCCCGATGTTATTTTCTCCGGACTTCGTTCTTTTAAATTGAGGGGTGGTTTGCTTTGGAGTTCGGGGCTAGGATGCCCAGTAGTCCCCTTATTCCCGTTTTTGGGGGTTTGAGGTTCCCTTCTCAACCCCTTTAAGCAAAAGGCCCATGATTTTGATAAACCCTCAGATTTTTGCGAGGTGGCCCGATGGGCTTGCAATGGCACGACGTCCCAATGATCCACCCAGCTATGTGCGCCTTCTTGCTGGCGCATGCCCTCTACAGCATCTATGGCAACTTTGTCCCAAGCCACGTGCCCAGGCATTGAACCCTAAACCCTGTACCCGCAACCCTAAACACCCCGAAACCCTAAACCCTAGTCCCCGGTCCAGTTGCGGGGCGGCAGTAAGATTGCGCCGCATTGCGGGTCATCTAAGCAGGTCTCTGTGTGTGTGTGAGCCCTGAGGGAAAATGACAACCCTCAACCCTGAACCCTAAGATGATGAAAGAACCCACAACCAAAAAGGAAAAACAACAACCCTAAACCCTAAACCTTAAACCCTAAACCCCGCTAAGGTGCCCTATGTGGTGGCGCATCGGCACGCTGCAGGGAACTTCTCACAAGGGGTGCTCCTTGTCCGGATCTCCGCGGCGGCTAAGCTGGGGAAGGTCGGGTTCGACTGGGTTAGCTCGTCATCTTCAGTAGCAGTACTATCAAAATCCCAATGAACTCTTAGAGACTGGTTTAGGGTATGGGGATTTAGGGCATAGGGCTTTTCGGTGCAAGGAGGTTGCTAGTCATCAAAACAGCAAGGATATATTGACGCACGGTCCCTGAACCCTTAACCCTCACCCCTGAACCCCTAAACCCTAAACCCCTCAAGCCTAAACCTAACCCTAAACCCTAAACCCTAAACCCTAATTCTCTTGCCGTTTTGTTGGCGGCAGGTGGTGGCGCACAGCGGCTGCCCAGTGGTGAAGGGCGCGCCTGCTCCGGGCTGGATTGGGGAGTGGTACCTTGGAACTGTGGCGACTGTGGGGTTTAGGGTTTAGGGATTAGGGATTTAGGGATTAGGGTTTAGGGTTTAGGGATTAGGGTTTAGGGTTTCGAGCTTAGGGTTTAGGGTTTAGGGATTAGGGTTTAGGGTTTAAGTAAGCCAAGGCTGGGATTCCACTTGCTCATGGCCTACTTCTGGTTCTGGAACTTGCCTAACCGGATGCTCTTGCCCCTGACCTTCGACCAGCTGCAAGCATTTGGAGGGCGAGAGGTCGGGGGCCTCAGCCCCAGAAATGTCTGCACTCTAGCCCAATCCCTAAACCCCAAACCCGAAACTGAACCCTACAAGTAAACCCCCAAAAACCCTACACTAAACCCAAAGACCTGAACCCTCAGGAAGACTTCGTCATGCTGCACTCGGTGCCTAGGTAGGACCTTGGAAGATTTTGTACTTTGACATATTGAGTTGAAGAGGATCATATTCAGGAACCCTAAACCCTAAACCCTAAACCCTAAACCCTAAACCCCCTCTTGGGTCTTCGGGGCCATCCGAGGTGCTGGTCTTTGACGCCCTGGCTGCCCACGTGCGCTTCGATGGCCTCAGCAGCCTGGCGCTGGTCCGGGCGCTGGGCGACGTCTGCGGCTTCGAGGAGCTCAGGCTTTAGTAGGTTTTAGGGTTTAGGGTTCAGGGTTTAGGGTTTAGGGTTTAGGGTTTAGGGTTTAGGGTTCAGAAGTGAAGGGTTCAGGGTTGGACACCGAGACAACCCGTGCTTTGTGCGCTGCACCTTGAGAAACTGATAGATCACGCCAGGAGGGGCCCGGTACAATAATGACGGTACAAAAGGGCAAGAATCGAATCTTTCATAGTAACAATTAATAGCATGAAGATAGAAACAATAGCCGTGTTTTTTTGGTTAGAATAGTAAATAATGAAGTGGTCATCTCGGATGGCCCCTGGGACATTGTGTATTTTCCCTGATTGGGCTTAAGAGGACTATCTTTATAAATATGTTTGCGAAGGCTTTAAGGCCATCCAAGTAGCTTGGTGCGTTCCGCCGTAAACGACCAGTCCTTCATAAGGATTATGATAAGGGGGTACTATGACCCTAAACCCTGAACCCTAAACCCTAGCCCTAAACCCTAAACCCTAAACTCTAAACCCCGTAGTGATTCTCAAGGAGGGCGAGTGCACGCTCTGCTGGGTTGGTGGATTCCAGTCCTTCCCCGTGCAGCTCTTCTCCGACCCCAGTGCTATGTGGAAGGTGGTGGATAGCAAAAAAGGCCGGGGAGGTTCAGAGTTTAGAGTTTAGGGTTCAGATTTTAGGGTTTAGGGTTCAGGGTTCAGGGTTAAGGGTTTTGGGGGGAAATTAGCAAGAACGCATCGCAGCAGTCTTCGAGGTAGATTCTTGCTGTTCCAGCCAGGTGCCCTCACCCTTTCCTGTTTCATGCCATGGGTTTCGGGGGCTCCGGACATCCTGAAATCCCTATACAGCTGGGCAGGCTCCTTCCTAGGCCCCAAATGAAGGTTTACGAGCCCCAGGTATAGTAGGATCCCCTTTTCACAAGGACCCGATAAGGTGCCCCTAATTGCGGGAACCCCCAAATCCCAGAGGCGTGCTTCGAGAAGGCACATATACAGTCCAGGCCGGAGGGACATGGGTTCGAGCAGATGCCCATCACTACTATCTGCTAAAGAACCCCCCAAAAACAAAGATGAGAACCCCTGTATTGCCCGTATAAGGAGGATGTGTTTAATTTTTTTTTTTGGAGGGGGGGGGGGGGGGGGGGGGGGGGTTCTTAAGCAATTAGTAGATCATGGTTCGACCCTAAACCCTCATATTACGAGAGGTTTGTGCATTCTGACTCATTGTTTTTCGTACTTCGATTACTACTATTGCTGCGGTTGCTACGATTTTATGAATTTTGTTGTTCGTATTACTCTTTTTGCAATTATTTCTTGTACTACCTTTATCACTCTTATTATTTCGATTATACTCTGATGACGATGATGATTACTGTTCCGTTCTTGCTATTATTCTTGTTATGGCGTACGCACCAACACGCAAAGCAGTTGCATGGAACGAATCTGTGCAGAAGCAGAGTGAGCACAAAGGTACTGCGAATCCAGAGTAGGAAGGCGCACTTGCAGCATGAACTGTACATCAGCATGTGCGCGTACATGTGCATTTCAGGTCGCTTACCTCCTTGCAAGAAAAAAACGCGCAGATGACACTAAAGCCATGCGTGCCCAGAGAGTCCCATACCCCCCCCCCCCCAGTTTTTTGACTTTAGACTACATACCTCAATCGTCGTTCTGGTTAATCGAGAGGTAGTGGGGGTTCAAGTAATCAAGATGTAATGCATGCCCATGTGTCCGCTGAAGCCCCAGCAACCCTCTAAGCCAAAGCGCAGGACGTGGAAGACCCCGCCTACAAGAAGCCGTCAGACTGCAGAGATCTCAAGATCACCAAGACACTCTCCATGTCACGCACGCTGGTCTGAGCCGTCGGATTCCGACGATCGCTTTAGTTTGCAAGACTTTTCTGGCCAGGGAAGACGGGAGGGCTACCAGGACCATCCTAGAACCCACCCAAACCCCAAGCCATAAGCCCGAGTGCAGGGTTTAGGGATTAGGGTTCTAGATCCCGGGGACAAGGATGCTTTAGGTTGGTTTAGGCTTGAGGATTTACGGCTTTAGGGGTTGAGAGTCTTAGAGATTTACATAGGGGTTAGGGTTTAGGGTTTAGAGTTAAGGGCTCCCCCCTACCCTCGACCCCCCACCCCGGAATCTCCTAAACCCCTAACCCCGAACCCCTAAACCCTAAACCCTAAATCCTAAATCCTAAACCCTAACGATACCCTTTGACCTTTCAAGCCAGACCCAACTTCCCTCTGAGCCACACCCAAATCGGGCCTCATGTTTTCCTTTGCCTTCCGGTGGTTTGGCCAGAAGCCAACGGTTTAGGGTTTAGGGTTTAGGGTTTAGGGTTTAGGGTGGTTTGGGCCAGGAAGCAGCTTTTCCGAGTTCAAAGGAGCCCAATACCGCTGTTTTTCCTTCAGGGTTTGGGTTGTAGGGTTGTAGGGTTTGGGGGCTTTTGTGGTAGCCCCTCGGCGACTCCGCGAAAGAGTTTAGGATGTACAATCTGCTTGATTTAGGTAGTTTGGAAGATTAAGCCCTTCGTTTTCCCTTCTTTATCGAGGCCCAGAGATCATTAGCCGAGCGTTGGTAGGTTTTCCAAGGGTTGCGCAGCTCACCTAAACCCTAACCTGACGTCTGCGCCCGACCAGACGAGAGCAGTCCCCAAACGACTTACATCCGAAAGCGCCAAGGCTCTATGTACTTTCAAACCTAAAACCTTAACTCCTAACCCTTAACCCTAAACCCTAAACTGCCCGCAGCTGCCAGACGAGACTCGCCACAGGTGCTGGAGGACGACACGACCGAGTTACTGCCGGGCCCTCAGAGGGTGGGGTTTAGAAAGTTTACGGTTGAGGGTTTAGGGTTTAGGGTTGAGCAAGTTTAGGGAGTTTACGCCTTTAGACCCTCTAGGCTGTAGGGCTCGGCCTGGGAGCTTAGGGCTTTTGCATACGTTTTCTGTGTAGCTTTGCGGGGGTCCTGAAGGGAAGCTTTCGGGTTTAGGGTTTAGGGTTTAGGGTTCCTAAGCCCCCAGATCCCAGTGTTTCCCAACATTCCCTTGAATTTCCTTCGGCTCCCAAAAGTTCTCCTGAGAGGTCGCATGGGTTCCCAACATCAACCCTAGGGGCGCTTGTGTGGTTTGCAGGCTTCAGAAAATCGAGCTGAAGATTTTCGGGATTTCGGGGGGGTTTTGGGCTTCATGATTTGAGGGTTTTCGGGAAAAACTATACCCTAAATCCTGAACCCTAAACCTAAACCTAAACCCCAAACCCGAGATGCTGCAAGCAGCGTGTCTTCTGGGCTCTTCTACATCGGTGTGACGGAGATCTGAGCAAGAACTCAGATCTGCCCCTCTTCGGAACCCGAACCATGAGCCTTGTAGGGTTTTGGGTCTACGGTGGGTTTAGGGTTTAGGGTTTAGTAATTAGGGTTTAGTAATTAGGGTTTAGGGTTTAGGGTTTAGGGCTTAGCGCTAAGCCAGCCCGAAACCCCAAATCCTGAAGGAACACATCGCAATTGGGCTCTGAATCTCCGCTTTGCGCAGGGTTTTGGTGGTCATTCTAGTACAGTTTGTATAGAGACCATAAGGGAATACCATTAGTAATTATTCCGACCCCTAAACCCTAAACCCTAAACCCTAAGAGTACCTTGGCACTCAACGGAAGGGCTTCACAGCAGAGGATCCCTGAGTCTGGTACCTGTTTGTAATCGAACCTTCTGATACCCTAAACCCTAAACCCTAAACCCTAAACCCTAAACATCCCTCACTGTTAAACCCGAAACCCTAACCCCGACCCGACTGCCAAGGCTTGAAGAAGAGGAACTGCTTCGCTTCAATGATGCCGGCCACTGGCAGGCATCCTGGTCACGAGGGGCCATAGGGTTGCAGGGTTTAGGCTAAGCCCTAAACCCTAAGTCATCCTAAACCCTTAATCAAGCTAGGTTTAGGGTTGTAGGGTTGCAGGGTTTATGGTCTAGGGTTTGGGGGCTAGGTCCCATACCAGGACATAGACTCACAGACCATAAAGAAATCAAAAACCTAAATCCCCAAGGGGCCACCCCAGGCAACCCTGAAACCCTAAACCCCTAAGCCCCCAAACCCCAAACCCCTAAACTGCCCTACACCCTCAACTGAGTGAGCCCGACCCAGGTCGGACGATTACCTCTTTTTTTTGATTGCAGCTTTCGGGTATTACGATTAAGGGTGCTCTGCAACACGATGCTGCACCTTCACAAGCCCTAAGCCGTCGTCTGCAGGTCGTCAGGGAAGCTTTGTCGCGTGCACTGTCAAGTGCGCTGGCCCAGCATGCAGAGAGGCTGCTGAGCACCCGAAACCCCACAACCCCAAACCCTAAATCGCCAAACCCTACACCCCAAAGCCAAACCCTACACCCCAAACCCAAACCCCAAACTCTAAATCCCAAGCCCTGAAACCCTAAGCCCCAAACCCCTAAACCCACGTCACGCTCTTTATGAAGCCGAGGAAACCGACCAAGTGACGCTGATAAGGGGCGACTGGCCATATGGGGGGACGTGAGGTTTAGGGGTTAGGGTCTAGGGTTTCGGGTTTCGGGTTTAGGGTTTAGGGTTTAGGGTTTAGGTTGCAGGTCTAGAACGGAGATGGTCCCCCTCCCCCCTGTCAGGGACTGTTACATGGTTGCCTGCGTTCCCCGCCTCCCTAGGATTGAGGGATTCTGTGGTTAAGGACCCTACATCCCACGACCCTACCTATTAAGTTTAGGGGTTAGGGTGTTTAGGCGCTTTAGGTGCCGTAAAGGGACCCAAGAGGGAGGACTTCAAGAAATGACGCTCTGAACCCTAAATCCGAAAGCGAAACAGTAAGTGCCTAGACAGACAACGCCTGAATGTGTGCCGATCACTGCGTCAGTTTTGCGTAGGCGCCAGAACCCAGAAGTCACCTCCACCGCCACCACCAGCACCACTGTAATAACACATGTGGGGGCACTTGCAGAAGGTATAGCTGTCGGCTTGGATGCAACATGCTCCATGTTAGTGATTGTCGGTGTATTCGCACGAAAACCGCCCGGAACGGTCATAGACTTGGCAATGAGGAGTGCCACCCTACGCCTCACCCACAGGCTGTTGGAGTCTTGAAGCTTCAGCAGCTTGCGCACCGCTGGCCGGGTGCGGGGCTCGCTGCATGAGCTGCTGCCAAGAGTCCTTTTTGAGGCCAACGTGCTGCGGCACGACAGTGGGGCAATGGGCTAACGCGCTCACTGGGGGACTCGCCCATTCGGCTGAACTACTTCGAGTTCGCCGTGGGGCATGCAGCGTTGGTGGGGAGGCCTTTGTTAGAGGCATGCAAAGGTTTACAGTTTAGAGTCTTGATACAAGCCATGCCTGCGTGTGAAGGACATGAATCCCAGGGTTGATTACGGGACGAGTTTCGGGCCCCGTGCAACACATGTAGGGACGCTTGCTGCAGGTAGCTTGCGGCTTGGATGCAAAGTACTTAGTCGTGTTCTTTCGTTTTTGTTAGGGAATGTGCACAAAAGCCACCAGGTTTCAAACTCGTCTTTCGCAGTGAGGAGTGCCACTCTACGCCTCACCCACAGGCTGTTGGAGTCTTAAAGCTTCAGCAGCTTGCGCACCGCTGGCCGGGTGCGGGGCTCGCTGCATGAGGTGCTGCCAAGAGTCCTTTTTGAGGCCAACGTGCTGCGGCACGACAGTGGGGCAATGGGCTAACGCGCTCACTGGGGGACTCGCCCATTCGGCTGAACTACTTCGAGTTCGCCGTGGGGCATGCAGCGTTGGTGGGGAGGCCTTTGTTAGAGGCATGCAAAGGTTTACAGTTTAGAGTCTTGATACAAGCCATGCCTGCGTGTGAAGGACATGAATCCCAGGGTTGATTACGGGACGAGTTTCGGGCCCCGTGCAACACATGTAGGGACGCTTGCTGCAGGTAGCTTGCGGCTTGGATGCAAAGTACTTAGTCGTGTTCTTTCGTTTTTGTTAGGGAATGTGCACAAAAGCCACCAGGTTTCAAACTCGTCTTTCGCAGTGAGGAGTGCCACTCTACGCCTCACCCACAGGCTGTTGGAGTCTTAAAGCTTCAGCAGCTTGCGCACCGCTGGCCGGGTGCGGGGCTCGCTGCATGAGGTGCTGCCAAGAGTCCTTTTTGAGGCCAACGTGCTGCGGCACGACAGTGGGGCAATGGGCTAACGCGCTCACTGGGGGACTCGCCCATTCGGCTGAACTACTTCGAGTTCGCCGTGGGGCATGCAGCGTTGGTTGGGGAGGCCTTTGTTTGAGGCATGCAAAGGTTTACAGTTTAGAGTCTTGATACAAGCCATGCCTGCATGTGAAGGACATGTGTACCAGGGTTGATTACGGGACGAGTTTCGGGCCAGGTGCCGTGCAACACATGTAGGGACGCTTGCTGCAGGAAGCTTTCGGCTTGGATGCAAAGTACTTCATCGCGTTCTTTCGGTTTTTGTGGGGGCATTCGCACAAACACCATCCGGCACCGTCCAAATTTCAGACTCGTCTTTTTGCAGTGAGAAGTGCCACTCTACGCCTCACCCATACGCTGAGGGAGTCTTGAAGCTTCAGCAGCTTGAATAGCTTAAACTGCAGGGTACTTTGACTACGAACCCTAGTACATTCAACAATTCAGGAGTATACTTCAGAGGAGAAACAAATAGCCCCAAAACCTAAACCTCATAAAGCGTCAGAGGTTTGGCGCCAAACTCCTTTGTGCAACTGCTGGACATATCTGAAGCACGGCTCGCAGTCAGGGCGGTGTACTTACTGTTGGGTTAGCAGGGAATGGGGTAACGATATGCGCTACAGAATCCCTTAAAGGGTATTTATTAGGACCCTAATTCCCCCACTCCCTGCTAACCAACAGCAAGTTTAGGGTCGAGGTTGTAGGGCTTGTCGGGTTCAAGGTTTCTCCTTAGCATTCGGCAGTTTAGGATTTCTGGTTTTGCGGTTTAGGGTTGTTTGTGGTTCCCTACCAGAATGGGACGGGACGAGCTTGCGAACAGCGGTATCATGTGAAGGGGCCATTGGCTTCGTTCGTTTCACCTGACAGCCTACTCATCTCCAAAGAATGAGAGTTGGATACAAGTAGCATGTCGGCTTTGCACACATGCTTCTAATTCTTTCCATACCACCCAAGAGTCGTTGACAATTGTTGTTCCTTAGTTTGTGTATGTACGCGTGCATCACTAGATTGTTTAGCAGACGCCTCAACCCCAAAACCCTGAACCCCTATAACCCTAGACCCCTAAACTCCACACCCCAAAACCCTGAAACCGACGCTTTTTAAATTCTGCAGGGTCCGCTTCGAAGTGCATCCGTTCTTTCAGCTGCGCAGTGTAGCTAGCTGGGCTGATCTGAAGCATGAGATTCTTTTTGGCGAGTATACCTTCATATAGGAGGACACCCCAAAGGGTCATAATTCACATGAGGCCCCGCACAGGCGGACAATAGGCATGGCAGTGAGATGACTGAGGCCATGCCCCTTTCTCTCCTGTTGGCTCCGGAGCTTTGTGCGCATGCTGGCGTTCCAAGATGGGACGCCGTAGCTTGCCGCAATCTCAGCGCAAAGCTCAACTAGGTAGGTCTTGGGACATGTTGTCTTTTCCTTGATGGGCTTAAGAGGATCATATTCAGGAACATCTTTCAGAGGGTGTTAAGGGCCATCCCAGTCAAGCCGAAAAAACCTCCGAGGTCTGCGAAGCTTGGCGGAGAAGCAGGTGCTCTGCTGGGCTTTGGGCTTATAAGCTGGTACTATAACCCTACTAAGGGCTGTTAGTTTAAGGGGGAACATCCCAACTTATAAGGTTTAGGGTTTAGGCTTGTCCAACATGGAGTTTGATCGAACTTGTGGGCCCTTTTTGCCATCAGCCACCACTTGGTCCGGCCTCAATCCCTTGAACCCTGGAGCAATCCCAATTCTGAAATCCGGAACCCTGATGCTCTAGGAACCGAAGTCTCGAAATCCATAGAGTTACAAGCTCCTTAATTCTGCAAAAAACCCAATCCCGATAATCCCTTAAGGGAGGAATATACACCTTATAGAGTCCCTATATTCCTAAGTAGCCCCCAAATACCCCTAAATAACCATTAAGGTCCCTTCGAAGGGTCCCCTTAGTCCCTTAAATCCCGAAACCCTAAGCCCTAACCCTAAACCCTAGGCCCTAAACCCAAAAACCTAAACCCTAAACCCTAAAACCCTAAAACCCTAAACCCAAACCCTAGACCCTGTAGCTAGTTTCGACATGACATCGAGTTGCAAGCGTTGCCAGGCCCAGGGAGCCCCAGTATCCCTTCAGTGCGGATTAGGGTTTAGGGTTTAGAGTGTGGGGTGTAGGGTTTAAGGTTTAGGGTTTAGGGTTTAGGGTTTAGGGTTTAGGGTTGACTCTCCATGGAAATGGCATGAAAGGGTTCCTGTATGTTGAATTCAAGGCTATAAGGTACATTCCTTTACTTAGGGTGGGCGGGGGGGAGGGGGTGGCGAAACCCTAACCCGAAACTCCTAAGCCTAGTCTAAACTAAGCTTGGGTGGGGCTCGACTCTCATCATTTAAGGCTAACCTAAGGCATATTCCTTTACTCGTGGGCCGGGGGGGGGGCGGGGCGAAACCCTAAACCCCAAGCCCCTAAGCCTGGTCCAGGCTCTACTCTCACTTTTCTCTTCAAGCTCGGTGGAAGTGGATCGCGTCGCAGCCCAAGACAGGGTTGACATACCGGGGGCCTCCACGTAGGGTTAGCAGGATTTAGGTTTTAGCGTTCAGGGCTAGGCGTTTAAGTTTTGGGAGAGTTTAGGGCTTAGGGTTTAAGCGGTTAGGGGTTGAGGATTATGTAAACATGTAGGGTTCAGAGTTTAGGGGTGGGAATGCTCGCTGAGGTGCATATCCTTCAGGCATCGCCGCAGCAACTGGTCCAGGACGGGTGCAGGGACAGGACTACCCCAGAGGGCCCAATACTCCTTCACTCAAATCGGGTTTAGGGTTTAGGGATCCTTAAATTAAAGTCTTTCAAGGTGTGCCTCTTAAATAAGGGATGCGGGGCTCTCTGGCATAACTTTGTTCACACGCTGCCTCCCAGAGTCAAGCTGCAGGCAGCACTGCCGTCTCCCTTCCCGCCGAACAGTGCGAAGGCCGGAGGCATATGTCCTGTCAGCTGCACCATCTCCGACTTTCCCAAATATAGGGGCACCTCGAAACCCTTAACCCTTACACCCTAAAACCCGAATTAATATCCCCCCCCTTATTGTTCTAGGAACCATGAGAGTGGGTGCCCTTATTTCGGGGTAAGATATCCTGTTTGCCAGAGGAAGAGCATGTCGTTGCGCAACTGCATCTCCATGCTGCTCTAAATCCCCGAAACCCCCATGCCCCTCCATGGACGTTTAAATTTGAATCCGAGCCCCTTGAACTCATGCAAATGCCAGGCTCTGCAATCCAGCCCTTCAGCCAGCATCATCATCTGCGAGGTCCCAGACTGCAAGCCCGAAACCCTAAACACTAAACCCTAAACCCGAAGCCCTAAACCCTGAACCCTGAACCCGAAACCGCAGGGGCCCTGGATTGTTTTACTGCGAGGACATCGTCGGAGCATCAGGCGCACTTCGGGCGGAGGCCCTCGAGGCAAGCTGCGCGTTAGGTTCGCTCAGTATGTACATGTATACACATACAGCTTACTTAGTACGTATAGCACATATTGCGTAAACATCATGCCTATAGTAGTTATATAACTTTGTATACACAGTACATTTGTCCTGCTTATCTACATGACAGCACGCATTTCCGAAGCAGAGCTCAGCGCAGTGGCCTCGATCCGTAACAGTTTTTGGGCATGCGAGGATCTTGCGCTGGTCTGGCGCACCTGCTCAGGCGAACGTCGGCTGGGGTTCCACAGTGAACTTCGGCACTTGCAGGTTAAGGGTTTGGAGGGTTTATTGGGTTTGGAGGCTTGAAAGGGCTTCAAAAAGGCTTGAGAGGCTTATTTCTTGTAGGTTTCCTAAGGAGAAGCTTAAGCAGACCTTCTAGCAACTTAAGCAGCAGCTGGCTTTTGAGCTCTTAGGGACACCTCAAAACATGAATCCACGTAGAAGACAGGTAACCCTAACCCCTAGACCCTAAACCCCTTAAGGACCTAAGGAAGAAGATTCCCAGCACCAGGGCGCAAGGGCCGAGAGCTGCGAGTCATGCCGGAGGTGCGCCAACCACAGTTTTCGGGCGTTTTGGCACATGAGTCACGGTGGTTTAGGTTTCAGGGTTCACGGTTCAGGGTTCAGGGTTGAGGGTTGAGGGTTGAGGGTTTAGGGTTTAGGGTTTAGGGTTTAGGGTTTGGGAGGACCCCTGAGCCCTAAACCCCTTTCGCATGTCTTTGCCTCGGCAAGGCCATCACGCTCAAGCTGTCCCTCATTGAGAGCTGCGAGTTGGAGAGGACCCCTTTGTTTTAGGATCTTTGACAGTTAAGGGGTTTAGGGTTTAGGGTTTAGGGTAAGGGTAGGGATGTTCCCAGCAGTCCTTAGTAGGGACTATAAGAGGGGGTACTATGATCTCTATTAAGGACTGTTAGTATACGGGGGAACATCCCAAAGTTTAGGGCTCAGGGGTGTACAGGGTTTAGGGTTGTTCGGGGTACGGCGCCTTTCTGCTCGGATCCCAGGTTGTAAGAAGCGTTGGTGCTTGGGGCGGCCCGGTTGAGGTTCAGAACCTCTTGACATAAAATCCTTTCCTGAAGAATCACGGGTAGCTACAGGTGGGGCGATGCAAAGGCAACCAATTCTAACCAGAGTTACCCCAGAAATGGTACACCCCAAGCCCTTTTTGCACACCCACGCACACACCCGAAACGCTGGACCCTTAATCCCTAAACCCTCAACCCCTAATCCCTCAAAACCCCCAACTTACCACCGTCCAGGCGAACTCGTGTAGTGGAGCGCCCTGGTGGCGTGGACGTGTCCGGGGTCAATGCGCTCAGCGTCTCAGACTTCTTGAGCCGCGCACCCGGCGCTCGGGCTGAGGCCTTGCACTCCCAGACACGGAGCCCAACGCCCCTTACCGTAGTTGAGTTACATACTTAGCCTAGAGTTGAACTTAAAACTTTTCGAGGTTCCCTTATTTAGCAGGAAGAGTAAAGTTTAACCATCTTTCCAGTGTTTGTTGGAGAAGTAAGGTTTAGGAAGACCCTTCTGTGGTTCAAAGGTGTAGGGTATAGGGCTCTCCGCCTTGAGAAGTTGGTGCTCAGCAGTGCAGGCGCAAGTCGCAGACACCTAAAACTACCTGGGACCCTCTTTCCTGCAGTGTTAGGTTCTGCCTACTAATAAAGGGTAGCTACCACTGGACTGTAGGTAAATAGAGTCCTAGGTAAAAACCGTAAACCTCACCAACCCTCTGCCTTATCCCGAAGCCCTGTATGAGGTCTCGAAGAGAAGCTCTTGAAGCCGAGATGGCTGAGCAAAGAGGCATGTTCCGTTCCGCCAGGATATGGGGGCGGGGCGGGGCAGTCCGAAAATTGGGGGATTCATCGAGTAAGGAGCTAAATACGCGGTACCCCTATTTGGGGAGCCGAAACCCTCAACCCCAAATAGCCATAAGGGTGCCGTTCTATTTATAGGACCCAAAAAGGGACCCTAATTTAGAGAACAAACCCTAAACTCTCAACCAAACCCTAAACCGCAAAAAGGTGGAAGCCCTGTCGCTGCCCTTGGGCCCTTCTCTACTCACAGCACTGGCCGCTCTCAGCGCACGCCGCCCTCCCAGATCCTTGAAAGAGGGGGGGGGGGGGAGTTGTTAGGGTTTAGGGTTTAGGGCGTAGGGTGCAGCGTGTTAGAGTGTTGGGGTGTTCGGGTGTTAGGATGTTAAGATGCTAGGGTGTTAGCGTTTAGGGATGTTTAGGGTTTAGGGGTCCCATAAACTTCCCAAAGCCTTGAGAGCCCCAAACCCCAAACACCGAACCCACGCGAGCTCTAAGGCGAGAAGGGAGCACCCTTGCTGCGCATGCGGCTCGTAGCAGAAAATCCGGGCAAGGCCGGGCAAGGGCAGCCCCTTAGTCAAAGAATGGGCTCAGGGTTTCGGAGTTTAAGGCGTTAATGTAGGGTCGAAATATTACTAATAGTATTCTCTTATGGTCCCTTTTTGATTCTACTATAATGACCCCTAAAACCCTCTTCTAAGTATTCAGGCTCCTTTATTCGACAGCATCTTAAGGATTCCTGTGCAACTTAAAGTTCTTCCCGGATGCGCAGCAGAAGGGCTGCCATTTCAAGTGCTGAGGTGACCGGAACCTTTGGCAAGTACCTAGGAAGCGTCCGCTAAGCGCCCGAAAAAAGTCGCGCCGCACCTGTGGTTGCGCAAGTTGCATTTTTGCATCGCTTGTGCTGTATCCTCGCATCATGTACTCCTAGTATCGTTGCGTCGTGCACACCGATGTATCCTCGGATGGTGTCTTCGTGCAGCGTTCTGTTTGCCATGTCTCGTGTCGCACTCCTAGCGTCGTGTTTTCACGTCATGGTTGTGGCGGTGTCGTATTTGCTTGTCGTGTTTGTGTAGTGTCTTCGCGTCGTGTCTTCGTGTCGGGTCTTTGTGTCACGGCTTCGTATCACGGCGCGTGTTGTGTTTTCGTGTCGCGTTTTCGTGTCGCGTTCGTTTGCGTTTCTCGTCTCACGTCTCGCTCTCGCGTCGTGTCCTCCTTGCCGAAGCTTGCGACACCTGTCCAATTCGGGTTCATGGCTCCGATCAGGTTTCCTGGTTGGTGGGAGGTTTGCTCTCTCTGAGTAGCATCGGGAGTTGCCTGTGCTTGAAGGAGTGAATATATTCAGCTAGTTAACCCTGATTCCCGAATTCCCTATCCAGAACTGGATCAGCGAACAATTCTGCGGAAAGGTCCATGGCATCGTCACGCGCTTCACGTGGCCGGGGGCCACAGGCCAAGGGAACCCTAAAATCCGGACCCTGTAGAACACCCTAACCCCTAAACCCTAAACCCCTAAATTCTGAACCCTAAACCCCTGAACCCCTGAACCCTAAACCCTAAACCCGATAACCCTAATCCTTAGTGGACCTTGAACAAAAGAATTGTGCAGTCCCTGCCAGGCCAGAGCTGGGACACCAGGCACCAAGAGCAACTGTCTTGTCCCATTTTATGGGTGAGGGTTTAGGGTTTATGGGTTTAGGGTTTATGGGTTTAGGGGTTAGGGTTTAGGGTTTGGGGTTTAGGGTTTAGGGTTTAGGGTTTAGGGTTTAGGCCGCAGCGGCCGTGGCATGATAGTTGCAGTCGCAAGTTTGACGCTGTTCGATCAAAACTTCGAGGCTTCATGAATCAATTGAAGCCACGCCTTCCATCACTCAGCCAATAGGGTTTAGGGTTTAGGGTTTAGGGTTTAGGGTTTAGGGGGCACCAAATCGAAGAAAAGCCTATTCTTACTATTCAGGCCCCTATATAACCCCTTTGCCACCTTTGACAGACGGTTGGCGAGTTGCCTGCTTCGCACGGCCAGGCTGGCAGGCGTTGTTTGGCCCTGCGAGGGCGGAAACAGACCACCCGACCTGGAGGCGGGTTCTAAACCTAAACCCTAAACCCCGCAGGTTCGGTTGTCTGCATCAGATTTGGGGGGTTTGGGGGTCCCCTATTTTCGTAAGCCCCCATATACACCGACTCCTTCCACCTTACAGGAGCCCGAAACCTAGGCCCTGAACACCCTCAACTCCCCGAAGCCATGAACCACCCTTGCACCCCCAAATCCTTCACCCGAAGCCCGAAACACCCTCAACGACCGTAAGTCCGAAACCCGAAACCCGAAACCCGAAACCCGAAACCCGAAACCCTAAACCCTAAACCCTAAACCCTAAACCCTAGCGATGCCGCAACTCCCACTGCCAGGCAGGAGATGCTGTGGTCGTGGCAGTTGAATACTCATCTGCGCGTGGTCTCATCGCGCCGGTCTAAGAGCGTCTGAGCTCTGCAGATACCAGGGAGCGGTTTTGGGGTTTAGGGTTTAGGATTTAGGGTTTAGGGTTTAGGTTTGGGTTTAGGGTTTTGGGTTTAGGGCTTCGGGTTTAGTGTCTTGCTGTGCTTTGCGGTTTTGAGATCCCTGCACCCGAAACGCTAGACAATTAAACCCTACACCTAAACCCTCAACCCTAAACCCTAAGCCCTAGACCCTTTCAGGTGAGCCCAGTGTGCCTGGAGCGAGCGAACGCCACTGCCATCACTTCAGCCACCGCCGGGAAAACACCGACCTCGTGGAATGATCGGTTTTGGACTTTGTCGTTCTTGGTGGATTCAGGAAGGATTCCTTTGTAAGTTCAGTTATATAGTTCTTGGTGAGGGCACATATTGGGTGTCCTAGCGGAAAATCCAAAAAGTTAAGATCCCACCTCATACTCTACGGGGGTTCCGTGAGTAGGCTGGGGCGTTTGTCCAGATTGGGCCGCAAACATCCTACCGGCACACGTATTCTTAGTAAAAGCGGATCAAGAGCGAGCACGCGCTACACAGCTCATGCAATCACGTTCGTGCATGGATGTCATTCTCGGACGAAAAAATGAGTTCCACGCAACAACAGACGTTGGCAGCGCAGCATGTCTGTGCCCAGAGTCACTCATAGTTAAGACGATGAGCCAAAGGGCTGCCATGGCTGCAGTGGGCGGCAAGTGGCGCCTTCTGCCCCCTCGGCGCAGCCATCAAGGCAGGCAACGCTTTAAGGATACAACGGTTCAGGGTTCAGAGCTTGAAAGTTTATGGCATTTGGAATTGGGTCTTGAGGGCTTTGGGGCTTTTCAGACCGCGACGCACAGGGCGGGCTTGGGCCTTGCAGGGTATCGGCTGTGAGTTCGCAGGCTACGAGACCCCATTGACATGCCTGTTCTTGAGATCGGTTTCATAGACTTCGGGGGCTGTGTTTACGGGGACAACGGGGTCAGTGTTTCCAGGGGGCTGTCTGCAAGAATACCATTCCGTTCTTACTTGTCCGTGGGGTTCCCTGTCCGGCGTCCGTGTCAGAATGCTGCTTTTCCAGCGCTCTGCGAATATGCGTAAGCACATGTGTGTTATATACATCTATATATATATATATGTATGGTCACCCCCCCCCAATGGACCCACCGCGGGCCTTGATCTTTGCACAAGTACCGCAAATACCGCTAAAACCTATGCTGTCTGCTGATCTTCCGGTGACCGGAATTTGACTGTATTCCTTAATTCACTCTCTCACACACACGGAGGGTTTTTCTTTCTGTTGGCTTTTGTTTATTATTTAAGATTTAGGCATTTAAACCTAAGCCTGCAAAAAAAACCCTTAACCTTTAAACCCTGTAGGGTTGAGGTTTCAAGGTTCAGGGTTTAAGATTTAGGCATTTGAACCTATGCCGGCAAATAAACCCTAAGCCCCTAACCTTTGAATTCTATAGGGTTAAGATTTTTACAGGTTTAGGGTTTAAGATGTAGGCATTTAAACCTAAGCCTGCAACTAATTTTAAACCCTTAACCTTTAACCCTGTAGGGTTAAGGTTTAAAGGCTTAGGGTTTAAGATTTAGCCATTTAAACCTGTAGCCAAGCCCTTAACCTTTAAACCCTGTAGGGTCAAGATCTTAAGGTTCAGGATTTAAGATTTAAGCATGTAAATCTCAGACTTCAATTAATTTTCAACCCTTAACCTTTAAACCCTGTTGGGCTAAGGTTTAAAGGTTTCGGGCTTAAGATTTAGGCATTTAAACCGATTCGGGCAATTAACGCCAAGCCTTTAACCTTAAAACCCTATAGGGTTAAGATATTCAATGGTTTTAGGGTTTAAGTTTAAGGGTTAGGTATTTAGACCTATGCCGGCAGTTCATGTTGAACCCTTAACCTTAAGCCCTAAAGGGATAAGATTTAAAGGTTTAGGATTCTTTACTGAGACATCTAAATCTAAGCTTGCAATTAAACCGAAACCCTTAACCTTTAAACCCTATAGGGTGAAGGTTTAAAGTTTTAGAGTTTAAGATTCAGACATTTAAACCGAAGACGGCAATTCACAATAAGCCCTTAACCTTTAAACCCTATAGGGTTAAGGTTTAAGGGTTTGGGGTTTAAGATTTAGGCATTTAAACCTAAGAATGTAATTAATTTGTCACCCTTAACACCCTTAAACTTTGTAGTGTGAAGGTTGAAAGGTTTAGGGTTTAAGATTTAGACATTTAAACCTAAGCCCATAGAGTTTAAACCTTAAGGGTTTAAGGTTTAGGCATCTATTCCTTAACCCTAAACCCTCTAGGGTCAGGACCCAAAAGCCCTCGGCAATCAAGCCTAAACCCTTGATCTTCAAACCCCATAGGATGAAGGTTCGAAGGTTTGGGGTTTAAGACTTAGGCATTTAAACCTAGAGGGCATTTAAGCCTTAAGCCTAAACCCTTCAGGGTCAGAACCTTAGCACCCTATAGGGATCTAGCACCTGCAGGTATACATCGGCTTTTAAACCATTACACCCTGTAAGAAGGTTTAGGGTCTTTTCGGGGTCTATCTCTAAATTTCTCACGGGGTCAACCCTGCAGGGTTTAAAGTTAAAGGTTTAGGGTTAAAGGTTTAGGCAATACCTGAAGGATTAGAACCTTTTAACCCTTTTGTGCTTGAGGCTTAAACCCATAAAACTTAAATCCCTAGGGTTATGCCTAAGTTTCACAAAAACCCCAAAACAAAAAAAAACAAAGAACAAACAACATCTTTTCCAAAACTATGGGGCTGGGGCCGCCAAAAGATGGTTTTTTTGGTTTTCTCGAGAAAAAGATGGCTTTTTTGGTTCGAAACCATCTTTTCTCGGGCTGGTAAAACCATCTTTTTCTCGAGAAAGATAGTTTTTCGAAGGATGGTTGCTCAAAACCATCTTTTTCTCGAGAAAAAATGGTTTCGAACCAAAAAAACCATGTTTTTCTCGAGAAAACCCAAAAAAAAAAACATCTTTTCCAAAACTATGGGGCTGGGGCCTCCAAAAGATGGTTTTTTGGTTTTTTTGGGTTTTCGCGAGAAAAAGATGTTTTTTTGGTTCGAAACCATCTTTTTCTCGAGAAAAAGATGGTTTTTGGAGGTCTTCCCCTGGTAAAACCATCTTTTTCTCGAGAAAAAGATGGTTTCGAACCAAAAAAACCATCGTTTTCTCGAGAAAACCAAAACAAGCTGGAGGCCCCAGCCCCTTAGTTTTGGAAAAGATGGTCATTTTTGTTTTTTTGGTTGTTTTTGGTTTTTTTTGGTTGTTTTTCGGTTGTTTTTTTTGTTTTTTTTGGTTTTTTGTTTTTTTGGTTTTTGTTAGTTTCTTGTTTTGTTGTTTTTCCCTTGATCTGGCTAGGACTCGGCTGCCACCCACGGTGGGTCCATTGGGGGGGGTGAGCTTATGTATGTGTGTATGTATGTATGTATGTATGTATGCATGCATGCATGCATGCATGCATGCATGTATGTATGTATGTATGTATGTATTATATATATATATATATATGTTTTCTTCTATTTATATCTATAGCTATTTATTGTTTATATACTTTTTGCTGCAGTAGAGCTACAAGTCGCCAAAAAATCCGGCGCGACTGCGCGCCAGCAATCTGAAAAGTCCATGAGCTGGCGATTGCCTTGTGAGTCTGCTGCGGAGGAGAAGGAAGCTGAGCCCTAAATCCTAAACCCTACACTCCCTAAAGCGCCTCAAGCCGCAAAACCCCCTAAACCCTACTACCTTCAGCAGCCAAAACCCCCCAAAAAACGGCTCTACTTTAAACCGCGGTTCTGGAAACCAAAACCGGGTTTTGTAGGGCTGAAACAAAGCCGACGTTTTCTTTTATGGGTTTTCGACGGTTTTTTTTCGGGTTTTCCGACGGGCATGTGCGGGTTCTGTGCCCCATATTTCGCAAGAACCCAGTTCTGGTAGTCAAAACCAGGTTTTTGACAAAATATTCCGGAAACAACGCTTTTGGGTTCCTGACCCACTTTTTTTCAGGGTTTTGGTCGCCCAAGGTAAACCCTAAACCCTAAACTTTGCAATTTTGGCCTAGCCCCAAGTCCGCCCCTCCCTTTGTTCACATCGTACAGTACGAGACTTACCCCCACGTCCCACGCTTGTACTTCCAGTCCGGAGTCATTTGGGTCATGTTTTGGCCTGGTGGCCATGGCAAGGTGGAAAAGGGAGGGAGATAGGGTGGTTGGCTCATTTGGGCATTTCCCAAAATAGGGGCACCCCTTCTATTCCCCAAATAGAATAGAATCCCCCAAAAAGGGACCCCCAAGAAGGGTACCCCTAGGTCAAAATCCCCCATTTGAATCGAAGGGCGAAGCTTCCCCTGAGCTGCTCAGGGTCATGCCAAGCTTGCACGTGTATCGGGCGTGTTAAACTCAAGTGTTCCTGGCTTCGGCATGGTGGCATTGCTGCATTGCTTTGGTGCAGACTGGGCTGATGCTCATGATGCTCGCCCGCTCGGGGCAGCTGTTGCTGGTGATGTTCGCTCGCCCACTTGGCCTTTCAAGCTGAGGGCCTGCTCATGATGCTCGCCCAGCCGGGGCAGCTCATGCTGACACTGTTAATGCCGGGGGCATGGGAACTGTACATGAGGGGCTGGTGGGGAGCACCAGAATGCCTTCCCACACCTGCACTGCCCACTACTGTATCCGCCAGGCTGGATTTTGCTTCCCTTTCCAGTCGGCTGTGGAACCGTGGCGTCCTTTGGCTGCACACAGGGGCTCAATCGCGATGCAGGTTTTCTCAAGCAGTTTGGCTCGTGACTCCAGCTGAAGGTCTGTCTTCTCGGAGCATATGAGATGTGATCACAGCAGGGTTCGCTTGCAGAATTTTGGCTTGCACACGCATGGCAATCAGAAAGACTACTCGAGAAAGCGCAAGCGATGATTCCACGGTTCCCCTGATTCTGCTACTGCGCCCAGGTTCCATTTGCCCACTTTTAGGCCTCTTATAACGTAACCAACTCAAAATAGGGTACCCTTGCTATATTCTAGTTGCCGGGCTATCAGCTGGGCGCTGCAAAGAGAGCGAAGGCGCCAAGCGCGCTGATTTCGCAGGTCACAGTGGGCTGCATCGGTTACATTCTTTTGAGAGCCTCAGCCAGTGATCAGTCAAGCAACGTATCACTTTTGAAGTCAGACGAACGCTAATTCTTTGCATCTTTTGCTGCTGCGGGTAGTGCAGTAGACGCATCCGCATCTGGTCGTAGCTGGCAGGGACCAAAGCAGAGCACAAAGAAGTGGAAGTCCGACTGTTGGGTTCCTGTTCAGAATCGAGCGTAAGTTACCAATAGCTGAGCTGAAGTTTCCAATAGCTAACACCATAGCGAAACCATATTATACAAATGTCCATGTTACGTTGATTTCGTTCAAGTCTCCCTATCAGCAACCCAAACCATGGCCCCTCGAGCTTCTTCTAGCTCTTGCGAGATTTGAGCATACACCCCAAACCCTAAACCCTAAACCCTAAACCCCAAATCCTAAACCCACAAGCATGCAAAACCCAAAGTAGATTGAAGCCGCCCACGCCTTCCACGAGCCACCTCAGAGGTTCCATGCTGGGGAGCCAAGCTATCCGTGGTTCATATTGCCCTTGAAAACCCTAAAGGCAAGTTGCTCTCGAAGCCTTGACTCCCTGGCGAAAGGGTTTAGGATTTAGGGTTTAGGGGTTTGATGGGTTGGACGGCTCTTCTCAGGAGGGTGCCTTGACCTTCACCCTACAAAACCCCGTCAAGGAGGAGTTGGGCAAGATGAGGTAGAAAGATGCAACCTTGTGGAGTTGCTTATAAGGTTTTCTTTAAAAAGCATGATGAAACATGACATGGAGGTAGATGGAGCTCGTACAGTCGACCCGAGTTCCTGAAATACCTCTGAGACCTTCCAGCTTTTGTGCCCATGACGACTGTGAGACTCTCCTACATGTCGGGCGAGCTCTTGGCAGAACTCCCCGGGCTGACACCAGAAGAGACCTGGCCTTATCGTTGAGTTTAGAGCTTGTATGTCTTCTTAGAACTGCTATTGGCTTAGGAACAGCCACCAAAAAAACTAGATACTTGAAAGTAAGTAAATGTAAAGGGTGACATAGGGATTATCATCTTCATTGTTTTGGGGCTTCTTAAGCAAATAGTAGAGAACGGGGGCAAATTCCGAGGACACGCTGGAGACCGTGAAGGCCTTGGGTGATGAGCATCTCCCCCTGGGAGTTTCCATTACCTCGCTGCTGAAGCCCGCAGATGCCAATGAGACAGCGCTGGAAGGCCAAATTCTGAGCCCCTAAACCCTAAACCCCAAGCCAAGCCCTAAACCCTAAACCCCAAGCCCTAAACCCTAAACCCCAAGCCCTAAACCCTAAACCCTAAACTCCAAGCCCTAAACCCTAAACCCTCAAGCCGCAGGTGCGCAGGCCTTGGGCACGGAGGGTGTAGTGGAGCTGTCAGTGGTGACGGGAGAGCAGATACCAGAGAGGTACGTCACCCTGGACAATGGAGGAGAGCCCTTCCTGGTGAGCATTTTATCTCGGAAGGAGAAGCACTCCGTGATGCTCTGCAAATGGAAACAAGTAGCTGAACCAGAGGAAGGTGAACCAGAGCAGCAGAGGATGCTTCGAAATTATGACATCTCAAACCCCTTCTTCCAAGATGCAGTGGAGAAGGTCTTCGTTGGCAAGAGTCCCTTGAACGAGATGACGCGATTCAGCGGGGGGCATGGTCCACGCTTTGATGGAAATTCTATCCTTCTGAAGAAGAAGGGAGGCGACTACATTTTTGTGGGCCATGAAGTCTATGCATTTCGGGCTTCGGAGATAGTAGACTTCGTTTCTCCCGTGGGCAACAGCAGCGTTCCATATCCATATGCTGTAGATGTGGAGGGTCGCTACATTCTCTTCATTGAGCATGTCGTGATGCCGAGACCTGGGAAGACTGGGAAGATGGATGATGATCCGTACCGGGTCTATTATGACATGAGATTCGATCAATGTGACTTTGAGCTGACCTACCAGAACCGCCGTATGGGGCCGGTGGGAGCGGTTGCTGGTCGCTTTCCCGATGGATCCACCTTTCACAAGATCTCTAAGGAGGGGAAGGAAGAACTCTCGCGAGCGACTTGTTTTTTCTTCTGTTGACGGCTTTATTCTTCGCCTTAGTTTGAGGGCCTTTTGGTTTGGGATTAGGCCAATGAATTATGTGCGCTTTATGTGTGTCCTAGGCTTCTTAGATTCGAACATTCCAGGAGAGGCTGAGCCCGCAAGACAACAATAAATAGAAATTGTCTTTGATGTCGCTGTGAATCTTCGAAACTATTTGTCTAAAAACATCTGGCAAGCCGAGTTTAAAGTAAATTTGCCCAAAGCGTTAGTTTGTCTACGCAGCTGACAAGCCGAGTTCAAGTAAAGCAAAGGCCCCGGCTCCCACAAGGCACCCGACAGCCTTCCTAAGGCCCCCTGCGGCCCCCTCCATAGAAAGCCCCTTGACACAGAGAAACGCTTCGCTCAAAGCTTTCGTTTGGGACCCAAGCCTTTTACAAGTTCTATAAACCTTAAACCCTACACCCTAAACCCTAAACCTGTATATATGTATCATCCGAGGAGAGGCTCCGGGACTTGGGGCTTGAGATGATGTCAGCCCATGGCCTGATGCCCTTGGAGCGACTGGAGACCTTGGCGGAGCGAATGTAGCGGCCTCGGATAGGGAAAAAAGAAAACGAGGGTTTAGGCTTTAGGGTAGGGGGCTTAGGTTTAGGTTTGGGGTTTAGGGTTTCGGGTTTAAGGGCTTAGGGTTGAGGGTTTAGGGGACACACTAATGGATAAAGACTTCAGGGGCTTCATAGTTGGATATGGTCCCTCATTTGTCTTTTTGAATCCGATTCTTATTTCTATTGAATGTGGAATCATTTGTAGGCTACTTTGAAAGATTTAAATACCGAATCCATAGCCAAGTATTTTTAATAATTAAACTATATATGAATATTTTGATCATATGAATTGTCCGACATTTATTAAACAAAACATTTTTTGGTTTTTTGACGATTAGTTGATGAAATAAGGAAGGGTGAAGAAAATGATTTTTTTCTTGAAAATTAGTTGTCGTGGGCGCGGATTGGGTGTATTTGTCGGCGATACTAATTTTATCTATTCTATTTTGAAATATACGAGGCCAGAGAATTGAAAAATTGATCAGAATTGTAATGATGATAGTCTTTTTGAATTATAGATTTATCGAGATTAGAGAATTCTATCGACACCACGCTAATTATTGAGGATATTTTGAATGGGAATGAAGTAAATAAAAGGATACGAATAGGGGATCGGATTCGAACTAATTATATTTGATTATATGGGGGATTTGAATTAGGAAGAAACTCGAGCGGAGGAATTTTTGTATTAGATGTTTGATGATCCTAATGGATATCTTCCTCACCCCTATCAATAGCATCTTTCGGCATCATTGGTCTCTGATGACAGTCCAGGTTCAGAACGACCATGCAGCGTGTCCATTGCACCAAACAAAGGCAAAATCTTTAACTCACCCACAGGGAGCCTAATTTGGGCTCATAACCTACGGGGGGCAACCAAAGAGGGAAAGGAAACCAAGAGATCAACCCCAATGATTGTCCTGAATACATCCCTGGACCAACCAACCCAAACCACACAAACCCAAACAACCGGGCACACTTCTTAGGGCACATGGCCCAGTTCCTTGAGCCAATATTGTTACGGGACATTGCCCTTCCCCACCTATTCACTTCAACCTCCGCATAGGGTTTAGGGTGTAGGGTGTAGGGTTTAGGGTTTAGGGTTTGGGGTTAGGGTATTTTGCCAAAAAACGAGCCAGCCTTCCCTTTTTGGCAGTCCTCTGTTGCCAGGCTGGGGCACTCGTGGCCCTCCTCGCAACTACCCGTTCAACCTTCAAGTAAGGGCACTGGTGATGCCCGCAAGCGGTTCGCGCAGGGTTTTCGGATCTCGCTCATTTAGCAAGAGCGTTGGGTCCTGTCATTTCTAGTTAAGCGATTTTGGCTTTTGACCAGGCGGTCCCTGCGATGCTGCCTTTTGGTTAGGGCGACGCAGCCAAAGCTTAGGGTTAGAAAGAAATTGCCCGCTAAGGGTATTGTTACATATGTAAGAGAGGCTTAGGGTTCAGGGCCAATTCCTTCAGGTCGAATAAGAGTCCGAGTGAGAAGAGAAGGAAACCTTGTCGCTTCAAGCGCCAGGGTAAAAACCTTCTCAAGTGAAACAAAGAGAACCGCAGAACCAAAGCAAGCGAAAACGTAGGCGAAATCCAAGTGAGACGAGCCACGCACCCACCGCCGCCCCCAATGAAGGGAAGACGCCAGAAAAGAAGAGACAACAAGCAAAAACGAAGGGATTCCTAAATCTATATAGAAATTCGAAAGTGAAACAAACTAGAATCGTGAAAGTGAAACAATCCCTTCAGCCACCCACATACCTTCGAGCTCCACACCTCCGAGCGTTTTCCCGAACTACTTGGGCAAGCGGGTCACCGTGAGGTGCACTCTTCACTCTTGAGAGTGTTGGAAGTTCGTTGCGGAAGTTTTCGACCCAACCAGCACGCAAGACATGGGTTTCGTTCGGGGGTTGGGTATGGAGTTTCGGCGTGCTGTTTCCTTTCGGTCTTCTGGCAACGCGCAGCTCTACACCTCAATGGCTTCGTGAGAATCCAATAGAGACGCACGTTGTTTCAAGGATCCAGACTGAAACGAAATGAAGAAGAAAGGTGGGTTTGGTCGCTCATGTGCTGGTTGCGGATATTCCAGGGAGAAACTCCTTGACATGTCCCTTGGATGAGATGCGGCGCGTGTGCGTGAAACCAATTCATGCACATGTATGCTTCATCAAAAAGTAAGCGCTGCGTGCAAGACAAAAGCATGAGCAGCGCCGTGGGCCCCCGAAGGGGCAGCGCAGCGAATGCAGTTTTGGCGCGCGCAGCGCTTAAATTTTTTTAATTAGCCCTAAATCCCCTAAACCCAAAACCCTAATCCCTAAATCGTAACAACCCTCGAAACCCTAATCCCTAAACGGTAACAACCCTCAAAACCCTAATCCCTAAACGCAAACAACCCTCAAAACCCTAATGCCTAAACGGTTTAGGGTTTAGGGATTTTTAGGGTTTAGGGATTTTTAGGGTTTAGGGATTTTTAGGGTTTAGGGATTTTTAGGGTTTAGGGATTTTTAGGGTTTAGGGATTTTTAGGGTTTAGGGTTTAGGGATTTTTAGGGTTTAGGGATTTTTAGGGGTTAGGGATTTTTAGGGTTTAGGGATTTTTAGGGTTTAGGGATTTTTAGGGTTTAGGGATTTTTAGGGTTTAGGGATTTTTAGGGTTTAGGGATTGTTAGGGTTTAGGGATT